TCTAGTCGTGAGCCATAATGGCAAGGCATTATATAGGCTGTGTAGTGAGCTGTGGAATTTGCACTTGAACGGTGGTTGGAGCCTCAGCTGAAATAACCATATGATACAATTTTTTTTAATCTTAGTTCCCATCTGTAAAATGAAGATAATGTTGCTGCCTGACAGGGAAGTTGTAATAATGCATAGTTAGAGACTGGGAGGCACTCAGGCATGTTAGCAGTGATGACCTCACAAGTATCTAAAAGTATATAGAGGAGAGTGAAATAAGAGGAATTACATTGATTTAACAGTGCCCAGAATTCACGTAATTTCTTTAAAGAATCAGGCCCATCGATTTTATAGGATTTCCTGTTAAGGAATCTGCAGAGAATTGTGCATACGTATAATACTTGATACTTAAGAATACTTAATTATTAACAAGTCCAGTGTGAAGTTCCCTACTTATTGCTATGCCTAAGTTGAAATCTTCTTTAAAACAAAATAGAATTACTTTGTTCCGTCTTTCAAGGCAATGTTACGTTCTGAGCTACTGGAGTCTCTCATAGCCGAAGAATACTTGTGGCCATCCGCTTTCATCTGCCATTACAGAAAACTTTGGGAATGATGCATGTAGCAGATAGGTGAAATGTAATTAATATTAATTACAGTTACTGGTGATGCTATAGAATGTCAGGAAATTGATACCTGTAACAGTCCTAAAGAAAGCAAAGTCTGACAGTAAAATTGATGAGTACGCAAGAGTGGCAGAACATGTTATTCTTGCTGGGAAAGTTAGTAATACATTCTCTTGGTGGTACTGCCACCTGTGCTTTATGCATATTTTTTATTTTATGTTTTCCTGTCAAGGGTGTTTGCTTGAAATATTTCATCTTTACTTCATGTGCTGGCTGATCTTAATCTGAAATCATGAATTTATTTACAAGTAGAGTTAGTATGGAAGTTCTCCATATACTCCCCCGGTCAAGCAATTTTACCAGTTAAATAAATTGGATCATTGATTTCAGAGAATAAGAAAACACAATTTGCCAGTAGAAGGTTGATCTCTGAAGCCGTGCTTTAGTTATGTGATTATGAGGAATATGTAAGGAGGGTTGGCTCAAGAGGACAGGACGTTAAGCTGAAGTCTTGGAAATACACCCTGCACCCTAATGGATCCCTACATTCTCACATTTTATGTGACAGTGAAAAAGTCTTGTATTCTTCATGTGCCTATCTTCAATTTGTGTATAAAGGGGTAATAGCCCTGCTCAGCTGATAGGGTGTGACAATGATAAACGCTTTAAAAGTTTGAGAATCTCTGGGATTCTGTACAGTTAGTAGCCATATAAGTTGATGGATGTAAGGAGATGGACGCAGATAAAGGAAACAGAAGATGAAACTTTTTGCTTGTATGAAGGTATATTTCTACTGCTGCTCTTGGAAATGGGCTTTCATTGCAGTTTTGTGACTATTTAATACCTGCTGTCACTTACAGGCTGTTTCGTTTTGGGTTGTCTGAGGGAAAGAAGAATTGTTTTAGAGAGGATGTTATAGGGACATTGTTTTGCGGCACATGACTTTCCTTAAAGTATATGATTCATGAACTAGCTAGCTTTGAAGGGTGTTTGGCATATGGAAGGGCTTGCAGCTTCAGCCTTTGTAAGTGTTTATTTTCTTTTTGTAATACAATATTTGTAGTTTCATTCATTCTGGTGATGATAACTTGTTTAATATTTTAGTTGTATAAACCAATTATGATATGTTTCTGGATGACTTTCATGATGTGAATGTTGTCATAATTGTATCTAACTTTTCAACAAGTGAGACAGTTTTGGCTAGGCAGCAAGTAAGATGCTTCTTCTAGCAAAGGGGATGAATACAGTCACTTGGGTTTCAGGAGATATAGTTGCAAGATAATTTTGAAATAACCTTTTCCTTGGGGTGAGATAAAGAAGAAGTTTAAACATCATCTCTACTTTTTGAGCATTTTATACTAAAGTAAGTGAATGAATGCATCCTAGAAGGAAAAAAAAAACCCACTATCTTTATTTTACAAGATGATATTTTCCTCTGTGACTCTGTATGTGATACATTATGTTTTCAAGAAAAACACAATCTGACCCTGATATAAGTGTCTTAAGCAGAAGAGTTATCTGCTGTGTCAATGATCAATTTAGAACAGAATTTCCTAAAATTTGGCAGAACTGAGCAGAGTTTATCCAAACACTTCTCATTGTCATAAGCGCAAAAGCTGCATTTCTTGCATTATTTCCTGTATTCAATCTTTTGCACTATATATGTAGCGCAGTAACTCTGTGAACATAGCCAAACTTTCTAATACCTTTTTTTTTTCTTTTTTTCCTTCTAACTAGAGTCTGTGTGTATTCACACCACCAGGAGCTAAAGAAGGACAACCACGGCTCATTCCTGCAGGGCCCATTGCACTTGGCACTACAGTATCTGCTTACGTAGCCAAATCCAGAAAAACGTTGTTAGTAGAAGATATTCTGGGGGTAAAAAACTTTCTCTTTTTAATGAGATGAATACAACATGTTCCTAGAATATTTTGGTGCTGAAATATTTATCGAGCTGGATGTATAATGATATAATTTTCAACTGCTCTGCTGAGGTAATAAATTTGAGTTCGGTTTGGATTAGTTTGATGGAATAATTTTAGAACATCTCATTCATTTTTAAACTTAAAAAAATGTTTTGTCTTCAGATGTTTTTTGTTGTCAAAGAATGGAACTAATGGTACCACAGCCGCTTAGAAAGAAAAACATTATTAGTCAAAACTCTTACCCTCCTGACCTTAAAATATTCTGTATGCTAGTCCCAAACATAAGATTTCTATATAGCCAACCAAAGTCTGATTTAATTATAACACTTGGCTCATAGTGACAAGAATGTCAGTCGGAATTCTGATAATTAGACAAGATTTTGATCTCTGCTTACACTAATGTTATCGAACTGGTAAACTGTACTTTCTGAGAACTCAAAGCAAGTATGAATGCTGTCTTAATTATTTTCTACTTTTCTTGAGCTGTGTTCAGAGTAAGAATCTTTGGATACTGTGACCAAGATTGGCCATCGTCATGTGCAGTTTAAGAAGTACTTGTTCAAAAAATATATGAACTTTACTGGGTAAATGCAGGCTATAAGCAAATACACTAAATGCTTAATGTGAGCACGCTTACAAGAAAAATCCCACAGAACACTGTTTCTCTGCAGTAACAGTTGGTACTCGTTATACACCATGGGCTATAAAACTTTTACGCGGCCTTCGTCTTTGCTATTAGTAACATATAGGGCTTAAAGTTTCACTAGTAATTTCCAATTAATATCTTACAAGGATTTCGTGAGTCGATTTTATGTTCATAAAAAAATAAGGGAGATACAGTGGGGAGGAATTTTGAACTCTTTCGTGATTTACAGTATCGGCATACTGTTGACTGAACTTGAGACTAATTTTCTCTTCTTAAGTGATTTTTGCATGAGCACATTAAACATCTCTGTACATGCACAGTGCAGATGCTAACATGCATGAGTATGTGGTGCCAAAGAGAAACCTAATGTATTAACGTATTTTCATTGTAGAATTGAAATTGTGAACCTCTGCAGAGGCTATGCAGTGTGGTAGGTAGTTCTCTGTACCAGGGCACTGGGTAGTCTGCTTGTCCTGTGATTTTAGGAGTGTCTCAGCAATAAAAGCGCTTGTACATAGACTTGCCAGCCTTTTTCTCTGCAAGCCGGAATTAAAAAGTGAAAGCAGGAGGTTCATATTGCAAAATTCTTCTCACTTTCTTTTTCCTTAGAGTTTGTGAGAGGCTGTCATATGTTCCCTAGCCATTCAGGTTGGTTGTCATTTTAGCAATTAAGGTGCAGATGACTTGGTGGTTTTTTGAGAATGGAAAACTTCCTGCCGCCCCCCCCCCCCCCCCCCCCCCCCCCAAGTGTGTTCATCATCAGGGGATGCTTACCTTTCCTTAGCACAGCCTGTAGGGATCATCTGGTAGGAACAAAGTATTGCGGGACTGCCTTGCAACAAAGTGGGTCTAGCATATGAATAGGCTAGTTAGCACCTGACTGCTAATGATATACAGATAGTCTCTCTCTTCTTAAATTTTAATTTGTGGGGAACTGAAGCTATAAAGCCTTGGACATTCCCTATTTAGATCAGAAATTACAAATTTAAGCCTTCTATGGTAGCAGTTGATAGATTATTTTAACCTTTATTCCTGTAACTTTTGTGCAGGCTTGTTCAGGATGCATAAGCAAGGGAAGTAGAAAGTGTTCCCATAAAATTATGCATGAGAGTAAGAATCTGTTTCCTCTGCAGGAGCTGTTGGTTAGGGTTATAACTCTGTATAACCAAAAGCCTTAGCCTCAAGTTTTGATTTTTATCCTCTTGCAAGGGCTTCTGGCTGCTTGGTAACGCTGAAATCTGAGCGGTCCGCTTCATAATTACAGATGCCTTTTGTTTTCTTTGTGCATCATCCAGACTGGCGTTAGCATTGAAGTGCTGCTTTTGCTACCTGTGAGATTAAAGAAAATGTATTAAAAACAAACTGAAAATTGGAAGTCATACTGCAACCAATTCTAACTTTGCATTAATAAGATTATTTGTATATGGAAATTATGCTGAGAGATATTTTTAATGATTTTTTTCAGTAAATGTCTTAATACTTTGTGCTGATTTGGTCAGCCGGGAGAAGGAGAAAAATGTCAATGTATCTTTTATATTAATATTATTATATTTATGTTTTATCAAACTCTGTTTACATTTTCTAGGATGAACGATTTCCCAAAGGTACTGGACTGGAATCAGGGACTCGTATCCAATCTGTTCTTTGTTTACCAATTGTCACTGCAATTGGTGATCTGATTGGTATCCTGGAGCTTTATCGTCACTGGGGCAAAGAAGCCTTCCATCTTAGTCACCAAGAGGTAAGGCCTAGCCTTCTGTAGTTTGTTTTAAAATTTCCCACTTCAAGGCAATGTTCAGCACTTCAACCCCCCAAACTTCCTTCTTTCAACTCTTCTCGTATGTGTTTTTCACTTTTTTCACATTTGAGGTCATTATTATTGAATGTTACTTATTGAAGAAATAGTGAATGATTTGTATTTTCAGTAACAGGAGGTAGAATTTACATACACAATTACAGGGATATGTCAAGCATTTAATTTGTTTTGTGGAATAATAGTTTTGGGGATTTAATTTGTTTATTGATTATAAACTCAAAAAGCTAGTCACTGTAGAGCAGGTGAATGAAAATGTATCTATGCAAGTATCAATCAAATGTAACAGAATGAAATTACTTTATGTAAAATGACACTGCCGAGTTACCTTGGGTCACAATATTAACTTTCCAATAAAGGTTTTTTTTACAGTATGGAAAGACTGTTTTTTTCTTTTAGTAGCTTTTATGGTGTGATTTCTTAAGTAAACGAGCCCTATTGTGGGACATAATGTTGCAAAATTGAAGCAGCAGTATAGCAAGTCTTAATCGTAGATCTCACAGGAGGGGAAAGTGATTTTATTTTAAAACAAAACTGAAGCAAAAGAGATTTCACTCATTCACATTCACATTCTCATATCGATGCACTCACAGACACCAAAATGTGTGTATCCAGGTGGTCTTTTCCAAGAGTCGAGCACCGAGATGTGTATCCAGGTAGTCTCTCCAGGATTCCTTGCAATGACAAAGAGGACAAGGGATGCCAGCTGTAGAGTCCTCATGTCTCCTATTTTCTTCTTAGGTTGGCAAACGTGCTGCTTTTGGGTCTGCTTTTTTTCACTCTTTAGGAGCTGACAGTGATTGTGGTCTTTTGCCTCTCCAGCCTGTCACACCTCTCTGAGTCATCAGGATTTACTCACTATCCTTTATCTCCTGACCTGGTGTCCTCGGAGGTTTTGTGTAGATGTGCTGGTATCTGGATGACCTGCTAATCTAGGTGCCATCACTACGTGCCATTCTTAAAGCCCTCTTCTGCTATTTACTCTTTCTGATGCTTCCACCTCCATTATTCCCATTCATACCCATCTTCACATTTCTGTGACAGTTCTCTACACTATGTGATTTATTGTATAAGGCCTGTGGAATTATGCTGTCCATATGTGTCCTTCTCTCAAGCTTATGTTACAAGTTGTTAGCCAAGTACAAACAAATCTGAAAATGAAAGGTTTATTAAAGGTTTCAGAAGCGTATCTTACTCTAAGATGTAGGTGTGGATCCATGTTATATCCCATCTCCATATAAGATGACTCAGAAATGCACTATTTCTGTCTGTACCCTTTTTTCCAAGGGAAGGGAACTTGAACACAAAGGCTAGGAGGAAATGGGGTGAGTTCTAGCCAGGTGTATTGTCTGGACAATGGTACAAGATGCACTGTGGAGTATGTATGCTCTTTAATTTAGCTGTAGTGAAGAGTAATTATTTTGGGGGAAAAAACAGAAACTGTGTAGACGAGAGATAGCAGAACTAGTCCTCCCAAGGAAGGAAAAAAACAGCAGAATTTGTCCCTTATGTGTTCTGGTTATCAGTAACCTAAGTGGCCTAATCTGATGCACATGCTTGTATGTTAGCTGGTCGGTCAGCACATGTGTGGCTTCAGCCTCAGTGTGGCACCTGGTATCTTCTCTCCAGCAGGCAGAGGTTATGGTAGAGGGCTTAGAATATTATGGTGGTGCTAGTGTTCATGGTCACAGAGCAAAGAACAGGGATTGATACAGAAGGAAGCTTTATTACTTCTGCTGCTTACACAGAATTTATTTATTTGTTAATATTTTCCTATTAAATAATAACCATTACTCAGTCTGAAATTCATATAGGTCTTAGACATGCATTGTTCAGTGCAAAGCAGCTATATATCTTTTATGTTTTATTAAATACCTTCCTTAAATGAAGTTCATTGATGCTGTATTTGTAAAAGGCTGACTGCTGAATAAAAATATTTTATCATTATATTATAAATATTTAAAGGTCACTTTGGGAGTTTTCTAAAATGTTCTTTTCATTTTCAGATTTTAGAAAGGCTTTGGATACCATTAGCAATTTTTGCAAAATGTGCACCATGTGTTCTGTAGAAAAAAATGTTCATTAGGAGGATACGCAGCAGCAGACCTCTTGCACTTCTGTCCTCCCTGTTCCTATAAAGCTCATGTGTTTCAAGGACAGGAGATTATGCATGGTCGCACATCTTAGTTAGCCGCAGTTTACCTGACATTTGCTTGAAATGTTGCCTGGAAACTGACATACTTAAAACACTTGTGCTGAGTGATCAGGTCTGTTTTTTCTGTAACCAAAATGGTAGTGAAAGGAACAGTGCCTGTTTATAGCTGGAAGCATTTGTGACTGAAAAGGTGAAGCCCCAGGAAGATGTCATGGGATATTTTGTTCTATGGCAGATTCCTTTCATCGGTGTATATAATATAATTCTTAAAGCCCCTTAAATTATGGGAGAGTTGTTTTTATTTTTTGTTCCTGAGCTGATGAATCCCCCATACTGCTTCTGAAGAACGTTGATAAGCATCCTTGTGACACAAAAAATGAGGATTATTCTCCTGTGACTGCATGTACCTTACTGAAATTGAAATATTTGCAAGTATACTGCAACTTGCATGAAATAAATGTCTTCCCACAAATTGTTACCACTAGTCTTTGTCTGAAACAGTTTCCTCAATTCATTGAGCAGCTGGATAGAGAAAACTGTGATGTAACTGATGTGAAATTTTCAGTTTCTTCAGAGTTAGTTTTTTCTCTTTTGTTTCAGGTTGCAACAGCAAATCTTGCATGGGCTTCAGTAGCAATACATCAAGTACAAGTGAGTGCGGGTTGTTTTTCTGTTTTCATTGTTTAGAAACATGGGTTATGTTCAACTTTAAATAGCAGTCTCTACTACAACATTGATGTTAAGCCCCTTCCGGGAAGCTGGGAAAAACATGGTAACATTTCTGGTGTTCATTGAGCTAGTCTTCCTCACTTGCAACTCTGAATCAAATAATTTAACAAACTATAATTGTATTAAATAAACTTTAATGAAGTAGATAATTGTTGAAGTAGAATTATAACAATTTTACAGTCTTTCCTTGTCAAGGAGGCAACTGCTAGGCCAACTAGTTGCTTTTCTCCTCCTACAGTAACTCAGTTTGAGATTACTAGGATTTGCTGGGTACCAAAGCCTGTTTTAAGCCATCCCTGCTAGCTGCTTCTTGTGCACTAACTACTCCCACTAAGGATATCTCATGCTGTCCCTAGTTGTGCATCTCATGCTGCTACCTGCTCTAGCAAACCCCAGCGCATGATTCTTATGTCGCCACAGGTTTTCATATTTCAGGTAGTAGAAGTCAGTAACACTGAAAACTGAACATATTCCATCATCTCAGAGAAAACACAGAAATAGATTCTTGCCTCGACTCACAGGGAGAAGATTGTTACATTCCTCTCTTTTTCAAAATGTTTTTCTTACACCTTTCAGAAGACTTGCACGGTTTCCTGCTCTCCTTTTCTAGAATCTAATCTTTTTCACCCCAGTGCTGCAAACTATTGAGTTTGTTTAGGCTGATCATTCACGATGGCACATTTAGACAGAATTAGCTGGCTTAAACTGTTGTACAGTATCAGAATTGCCGTTGTGTACAGTTGTAACTTCCTTTCACTTTATGATAATGACTATGTCTTTAACTGAGAAGTCTTTCGCACATAGGAAAACAACACACGGAAAACATAATTTAAGCCTGTCCATTGATCTTTTTCATTTCTCTCCCTTTGGTTCCCCTGGACTTAAACAGAGCACTCTCCTCTCTGAAGTTCTTGTTGGGAAGAATGGGTAGAGTTTGATCTGTTGTTAGGCCTTGCCTATCAGGCTTACGGTTATATTTTAGGAAACTATGTATCTAGAAATTGTACCTAGTTACTTTATTATATGCAAGAGTCAGACTTGTGGATAAAGCTTGTCGTATTTTGCAGTTATTTATATCTGCATTGCACAGATGCAAGATATTACCAGATATAAATGGTATTTTATTGTGTAACAGATAAAATGAAGGCTTGTTTTCTTTTTTTAACCTCCATGTTTGCTTTAGTAATGTACAGATGTACAATTGTACTTTTGATACTGAATATGAAATTAGATGAAGTAAAAGTACAGGTCAGAGCTTTGTTTTGTCTAACACTTTGTTTTTAGAATATAGTATGTATACGTTATTTTTAGTGTTCATGTTCCAATTGATTTCTCCAAAAGATGAGCATACATTATTTGTCTTTATTGGGCAAAAAGTTTAGGTAAGCTTGTCTGATTTCCTTCTTTATTTGTGCCTACGTGCTCCTTTACAACCTAGAAAAAAGTGGCAAAAGAATAAGGGTTAGGAAGAAAGCAAATAAGATATTTGACGTTCTCAGCAGAGTTGAGGATCTGGATGAGGAAGTAGAGTTAAGTTGATTTTGTAACCACATTCAGGGGCAGTCTGTGAGAAAGCACATACAAACGTCACAACCAACATCTTTCAAAGAGAATTAAGAAAGGTGTTAATCACGTTTGACGTTTGTAACTCAGCAGTTAGATAGGCAAGGTTGAAGCCCAGCACACAAAGCCAACTTTGTAATAGATTTTATGTAGTGCTGTAACATGTATATACGCTGAGTAGTATTTTTTTAATACATATTAAACAAGTAGACTATATGATTTCAGTTTCCCTCTCACTTCTGTGTTCTCTTGGAACAAACGATAACATGATCTGTGCTTCCAGGTGTGCAGAGGCCTTGCCAAGCAGACTGAGCTGAATGACTTCTTGCTTGATGTATCGAAGTAAGTGTGATTTGTACTGTAATCTCATCAATTTATTTTCTTTAACTTGTCTAACTCAGCTCTTCTAATTCATCAGATTTACAGTGTAGCCCACAAACACACGCAACACACACCTTAAAAGGCAGACAGACTTTAGCACAAGGACCAGAACGAATGATGTGGGTAGCAGTGGTGCATACCTGTTAAAATGTTTTTTGTTTCTGTGTATGGAGAAAATGGAACATCCAATTACACCTTGCTCAGTTTATTTGCTGTTGTTTGTTTTTTATGCATTACTTATTTTCTCTTGTGTCGGAGTTAAAGGTAGCCCTCTATAGAAGGGTAACAAATAGGCTTCCCGAGTCCTCTGTTTGTTGTTAATTTTAGAAGACTTGCATGGATTTTGCAAAAAGGTAGTTAGCTTGCTTCAGCTCTCTTCTATTTATTTTGACACGTATGTTTGCGCGTGTGTGCGCGCACACACACACACACACACACGTACGTGTATACACATTTCAAGGATATAGCCTTGAAGTATCAGAGCTGCCACACAATTGTTTTTCCCCTGCATTTTCTGTAGGCTCTGTTTTCATTTTGAAAGAACTGTCACTGTGTGGTATGTTTTCTTCTAATTTCTCATCATGATAAAGGCAAGCTTAAACTGAAAACCCAGTAAAAGTATGAAAGATTGCTTTTAGACCTGTAAAGTCAGCTTAAAGGGATTTAGGTAGTCTACTCTTTCTTTGTTCCTGCTATCGATGTCTTAAACAGTAGAGGTGGCCAATAAATTAAAACACAAAACAAATGAAGTTGTAGCTTTAATAAATCAGTGTCTGGTGTACAGTACTGGTTGACAGTATTTTATCAAACTATTCAGTTACACTGAAGAATTTCTATATGCATCATAAAGGATTGATGACACTGTGGAATGGTGAAGTGTTTTGGATGTGTGCTGTTGCAAACACTTGCTGTGGGACTTGATCAACAGTTCTCAGACAGATGAGATTAGAGAATGTCCAGGTTTCCTTTGCTGCGGTTCAGGAAGGCAGGTGGCTGAATGACCTCTGCTGGAATGGAGGGGAATAATTTACCCTTTGCAAGGAGGGCAAGCTGGCTGTACCTATCTGGGGATGTTTTCCCCAGAGTTTCTCCCAAGAGGTGACTTTTTTAATTTACTTTAGTTAGTTAATTATTTCAGCTAAGGTTCAGAGCTTGTCTCCTAAAGAGTGCTTCTGTCTTTCTTTTGCCAAAGCTACCCATTTCTGCACTCAAAAGGGCTGCGGTGTCTTGCACTGTTATATTCCTTTTTATAGTGCTTTTATGTTGCTAAGTCTGGACTGAGCTAGTTTACCTCTGTCTGCCCAAACTTAGAGGCTGGCAATTTACTCTTGCTGTATTGCACTGAGATTGATTTAAAGAATCTTGATTCTAATTGTTTTCAGGTTTTAAATAAAAATTGCAATAAATATTGCACATATTTATTAAGTATGTTATCAGAGGTAAATACCTCTGATACATCATTATCACCTGCTAGAATGTTTACTTTTAACAAGAAAAGAAATCCTATGTTTTGAGCCACAAAACTGGGGTATCATTTAATAACTTTATGAACAGATGTAGGTGAAGACATGCACTAGCAAGAAAATAATTTGCTTCTTAAAATGAATTGTACTTTTCTTACATGGAAAGAAGGTTTCCTATTCAGTGAGGAAATTGTTGGCATACAATGTCACTGGGACATTTTCTGTAACATTTTAGAAAGGGCATAGTATACAGTGCTCCACATCTTTGTGTCCCTGAAAATGTAAGACTAATGTACTATATATTTCCTTTTCACTGCACCCCAACAGAAGTGTGCTGTATATATGTTCAAGGCCATGGGACAATGCCTTTCTGTCTGCTGGGAACATTGTAATCCGAGGGTTATTAAGACTTGGCATGTGGAAGATTTAGACTTCTTTTACTAATAAGTTTGACCTTTATCTTTCAATGTTCTTGACTGTCCTTGGACAGTTACCACTTCACTGTGAAACTGAGATACCACTTTTTTTTTTCAGTCACAAGGTCATTCTTTTTCTGCAACTTCAACATGCTACACCTGGGTAAACAGAGAATACTCGTTAAGAGTTTTATAGATTATTGTCTTTTAAATACTATTAAAGGTTAGATAATGTGACATTAATTTAGATACAGTATATAGTTTGCAGTAGTTCTCAGTACATAGTTCTCAATACGTAACCCAAATGAGATATTTTGAGAGCACATAGATCAAAAATGTCTACGATCATTTCAGCCGAGGAGGAAAGAACTTTTTTCTCTTCTAGATTCCTTTTCTTTTCCTTTTTTCTTCTCCTTTTAAAATCAGTATATGCTTGGTGGTCACTAAGGTAGGGGCCTGTTCAGTCTACAGCAGGTGACATTTAGTAACCTTTTTCTTTTACTTTTCTATAGAGTTCTGTCATTGTAAAATAATGGCTTAACGAAAGAGAGCTAGGGCCATTTCTGAGTTCCCTTGGGTATAGCAAGCCAGTCAGCACTTTTCAAGGTGCAGGGTTTGTTCTCACCAGTTTGAGCCCCACTGTTGGGTGGTTGTGAAACAGGCCCATGAATGCCACTTGAAGTATTTGACTAAGTATGATCATTTACTGACCTACCTCTTTTCCTGCAGAACATATTTTGATAATATAGTTGCAATAGATTCTCTACTTGAACATATAATGGTAAGTTGTCTTTTCCACTTCTATATTCATTAATCTTCATTATTAAAGTGCTTACTTTGTTCTCCTTTCCTTGAAGTAAGACGTTATATCATTGAAATGTATGAGCTTTTTGTAATTAATGTGTAATACAAACAGTATGAACAGATCTCAATACGGAAAAAGATGGTGAGGGTCAACTTGATTTTGTTTGTCGCAGCAACTTTGTTTCACAGCTTTCATAAGTGATGAAACACGAGGGTCTCTGAACTAAATAGTTACTATTGTGTTTTAAGGAAGGTTTGACAACTGTATAGTTAAAGGCTTCTGCTTTTCTTTCCATTTCAACATGTTTTATTGATTTCCTTTTTTCTAAATCCAGTTTGCTAGTTGCTGCAAACTACTTTTCAAGAAGGTGTTGTCTGCAGGAAGGACTAAAGGTCCACCATTACTCCTAGAATATTTGCAGATGAGATGCGCAAAGGACGTTACAGCCCCTTTGCTTCACAAAGTGATTTATGCCCCTAACTGGAATGACAGTGTCAGTCAATTTTGTATAGAAAACGTAAAACCGTAGTGCATTGATATAACTAACAATCTATGGTTTAATCAGTGAATTAAAGTATAGTTCAGAAAGAGATTGTAATTTTTTTGAATCAAGTTCCAGTTCAGAATTACTTCCTGAACAATGTCAACAAATATCTGTGCATTGGTTGCTCATGGCAATTTTCAGTGTTTGGTGTATGAATTATGCTGTTTAGCTTTAGCACGCTCATTACATACTGCAGTTCTTTCCCTGATTGTGAATCTTAATCAGTTCTCTGATACTGGTACTTCAATCTGCATATTCAAAATTTGCTCTCCAGTGATACTCTGATACTAGCCCTAATCTTCGCAGTGATAACATATTCAAAGACAGCAAACTAAGAATGCAAACAATATGCAAGTGGATTTATTTAGAAACTTGAAATAATTATGGAAAATATTCTACAGTATTTGCATATCTTAGTATACAGTCAAGAATCCTACACATAGGAAATATTTCTGAATGTTGACCATTCCAATTTAAATGAATTACTTAAAAATTATTCAGCATTGAAAAGCAGTGGTGTAATATAACATATGACATTAATAACAAATATTGATATTCTCCTCCATGAATAATAGTCTGGTAGAAAAAGCAATTGGCAACAAATTGTGCTAACTCTTTCATCTTATTTACCAACACTTGCTGCTTGAGGATTCTGCTTTATAACCTGCATGGATACTTCCTACTCAGCTTCCTTTATAATGTGTTCTAGTTAGCTGTTTCGAGGCCAGTTAATTGAATTACTTGTTTGCACGTTTATTGCCATTTTACTGGAGCGTGATTTTATCATTAGGTGGCTCATTCTGGGTCTCACAGTGAGAAAAGAGTGAGAATCAATTTCACCTTCCTGCTTTACGTTTTGGTCATTGCACTTAAAATTTGACTGAAAAAAACAGTTCACTTAATACTAAAATCCCTCTCCTTTTTTTTTCCTTTTCATTTTCATTAAAACGCCTCAGTGAAGTTAGTACTATGAGAGAAAATGCCTTATCAAAAATGCTTACAGATAAAGCTGTTTTTGAATACAGATGAGATGCAGAGAGGGGAGCAGAAGCTCAAGTTGCCTTGCAAATTTTCTCATCGATATGTCTCAATACAGTTAAAAGCACCACACGTGAAAGGTGGTCACCTTCACTGCCTGGTGTTCCTATTAACAGTGTTAAGAGTACCTTTTGTATTGATATACCCCTTCAGTCGTTGGCCTGGATTTGAGCAAGGGCTTTAGAGAAGAAAGAATTTATCATCCCATTAATCATTTCTCTCAATTAGTAGTCATTAAGCAATCATTTTTAAAAAACATGAGCTGTGACCAACGTAAGTTCTTGAGTCATATCCATTAGAACACAAAACTTTTCTAATTTGTTTAGTGTTGTTGATCTATACGAAAATCTGATAGAGTTTCAGAACAGGTGCAAAGAAGCATTTCCTAAGTCTTTTGGCACAGTTCATATTCAGTCCTCTGTTTAAGCAGAGAAAGAAATAGTGTGAATGGCTGTGATCTTTAAACTTTTTAATCCTTAAAATGGGAAATATTTCATGAAAGTTACCTTTTCAGCTGGCAATCTCCCTGACTTTCCCCTGTTCTAATGGAGCAAATTAGAAAGCAAAGGAATCTTTCTAACTACAGCATCTTTCAGTACTGAAGGCCTCTCCAGGTTTTATAAACTCGTCTAGATGGTTTCTGTGCAGCTTGTGTTACGTAGCTCATATGACATAGGATAAGTGATTCACAACTAATGATTTACCGTCTCATAGGTTCTTCCTGCGAACATCTAACGTTTTTCCATCTACATTAATTTAAAATGATTTATGTGTGCATGTGTGTGTGAAAGATGAGAAAGAGGAGGAAAAAAACAGTGAGTTACTTCATTCTTATGGAAGGCTCGAGAAGTCTTAGATATCCCACGTGCATGCCCTGCGCACTGAGTTGTAGTTAGTTTCTTTCTTTGGCTGAATGAGCGGATAGGTATTATATACAATTGGAACAATGCATACAGAATTGAAATGGAGAGAGATCCGCCTCGGACCATCCTGTACCATGCAATTGTTATAGCTTCTGAGCAGTTAAGAGAGTGATACTAGGAGGCTCTGTCTGAATGGAGCAGGGAGGTTCATGAACCTGATTATATGGCTTTGCAAGTTGATCACAATGATCATTGATTGACTTTGTTTCACTCATGCCCATTCTCAGAAACTCCATCCTAAACTGAGAAACGTTCCTGTGAAAAGCTGCTCTGTTCCAGGGACAAGATTCTGTTCTGACAAATCAAAATCAGTTTTACTGAAAGAAAACCTAGCTAGTTCATGGTCTGATAGAGAGCATGCAAGTATGCTCTACTGTGATGGTTCCTTGACTGTGAATGATGCCTTTTGGAGTATGGTTAGTTCATGTAGAACCAGCTGGGTTTCGACTTCTGTGCGGAACTTTCTTGCGACATCAGGAGGTCATCATCAATTCCTGCACCACTGCATATGACAATCCATCATGCTACTTCTATTTTTCTTCTATTTGTTTATTGTTGTGTATCTCGGAAATGCATGTTTTGCTTTTTTAGAAGCTAACGTTGGCCTCTCTGTTATTTCAATGAGAAAAGCACTTAAATTTACAGAAAATACTAAATAAAAACCCCACTTCCTTTTTGAATTGTATCCTAAAAGATTGCTGTAAGGGTGGATACTACTTCAAAGAGATTTTCATACTGGATAAGTTCTTGAAGCTTTTAACTTCTAAGGCCTTATGTTTTTATCAGATAAATGACTAAAGGTAATCTAACCCATGATGGTTAATTCTAGTTTTGTTTTTTGTCTGTAGATATATGCAAAAAACCTGGTGAATGCAGACAGGTGTGCACTCTTCCAGGTTGACCACAAGAATAAGGAACTGTATTCAGACCTTTTTGATATTGGAGAAGAAAATGATGGGAAACCTGTCTTCAAGAAGACCAAAGAAATAAGGTAAGAGTAGTTAAGAGAAGAATACAGTTTTATGATAACTATGGATGTGCAGGCATTTTATTACCCAGTCTCTGTGCCTATCTGCAGGTACCCTGACAATACTTGTCATACTGTGATATCATTCCCACCAGGACCCGCCTCCAGAAGGTAGTACTTCTGGGAATGACATTGCAGTGCCATCGAAACAACGTCTCTGAAGCTATAACGTCACTCCTGGAAATGCCGTCTTCCGGAGGCGGTCCTTTTGGAAATCATGTTGGGAAAAAAACAGAGGTGTTCCGAGGTAGGTAAAGGTGCAGGTAAAGGTGCACCTAATCCATAGTTCTGCCAATATGGGACATTTTTTGGAGTTCCCAAAAGGAGTTGAAATTTGTGCTCTTCAGGCACATCCAAAACAAGGAAATTGCAATTCATACCTCTTACAGATGGATTAAGCATACATAGGATCTAGTACGGACTGAATATTGGTTTTGAAGACTTTAGATCCAGTAGTTTCATTTTACCTTTACTCACCTGAATTTAGAATATTTTCAAACTTGTAAATAGTTGTGATTCTGGAGTATGCTTGAAATGGTTCATTTGAAAATGTATGCAGGCTTGAGGAGATAGAATTCTCTGCCCAAAATTGTTGCATATTTCTGGTTCGTGTCTGGTTCATAGTTTTTTACTTGTGTGTATATTTTTAATGAAAGAGTCAAAACAACAAAATAAATTTAACATTTTTCACCTTTCAAAAGTGCTGAATCTGTATCGGTGTGTCTGTTGATACAAGTTGAGATTTTCAGATATACAGGATTTAACCCTGCAACTTCTTAAAGAGAAAGAAATGTATGACTAAGTCTCCTACATTAACATTTCTGATAAAATACGCAGTCAGCAACAAAGTTCTCAGACTTTTTTTCAGTTCCTCCATATATCTTTAAAGTTCTCAGCCAATATGAGATATGATTCATGTCTTCACTTAGACTTCTTTAGACGAACTTACTCCCACTTACTACATTGTATAAGAGTGGAAAGAGTCAAAATTGGTGCAGTTACATACTGACAAGCAAGGAGGTGGTGTAAATTAAAGAAGCCAGTGGCCTGCTTTAACATGTACATTCTTACTCCTTCTTGATAATTATTTTTCTTGCTTATGTTTTACTGTTGTTTTGGTATGAAAATTATTGAAATGTTAACTCTGAGTGCAAGGGTGTGAGCCATTTCAAGGGTAATGTATACTGAAAGAGAAACATAAATGTCTGTTAGAAAGTGACACTGAGTCATGCGTCGGAAAGAAGTCTAAATTGATGTGATATACGTATCATGAGAAGAAGCAGAAGAAACTGTAACTTAAAACCAGTTGTATGGGGTGAAATCACGTCACTTTTGTCAGTGACTTCAGTGGGAACAGGATACTACCCAGGTACATTTAGATTTGAATGTGTTCTGCGTGAGATTCTTCTTGCTTATTCTTCTCTGCAAATCCTTTTGTACTTGTATGTTGTAACTGTTTTATGTTGAAGACAAAATTACTTCCTAGCAGTACTGGCTTGTACGTGAATTTTTCTGATTCAATTCCTGAATATGTTTGCTGTTTTTCATTTTCTTCTGGTGAGATTAAAAGATGTAGTTGGTACCACTGCATTTTTGGCACGTCATGAGATGCAACATGCCAGTTATTCTGAAGTGTACGTAGGTAATGCATATATACGATGTCCAGCTTTGAAATACCCACTAGTATTTTTCCAAACTTTATTTTACCAAATCCACCTGTCCCCCCAAGTACCCCTAACTCCATATTGTATATGATATGTAAAAGTGATGATGAAATCAATAGTATATAAGGGTAAACGTAAGTCATAGATTTTGTAATGTGTATTAGGTATAACGTCCAAAGTTAGGAAAACTGAATTTTTGTCACTAAAATGTTCGTATTATGACATCTTTTGTTTTCAGCTATATAGTTATGTAAAATGTTTTAAGGAAGTGTCTATTTAAATATGTGCTTTTTATTTTAGTATTTACTACTAGTTGTTGTTTCATAAGATTTTTCTCCCATGAGCATCTAAATAACGTTGATCTGGAACAAATATCCATTACTGTGCCTGAGACCGACTCCAGTGGAAAAAAATTTTCCAGACTCTTCATATTGTGACTAACACACGTTTTTATTTTATGCAGATTTTCTATAGAAAAAGGAATAGCTGGTCAAGTGGCAAGAACAGGGGAAGTCCTTAACATCCCTGATGCCTATGCAGATCCTCGCTTTAACAGGTAGGAAGTTATGCAGGGAGGGGAGAAGAAGAGAGGTCACCAAAGTTTTTACTTAATTTAGTGTTCCAATTTCAAATTAGGATGCATTTATGGAACTATGACCTTCTGATGAGGAGACAACCTATAGATATCTATCTAAAAGTTTGGCCATTGGAGATATTTTTAAGATAGAAAAAAAAAAGCATTGTCTGTGTCTTATATAAAAATCACAAAGAAAGATTTATTTTTTCCTGTCCTAGAAGCACAGTTAGGCAGACTGTTGCTGATTTTCTTTATTAGCCTCCCTGCTATCTGACTGAGATGGGGGTGGGGGGAACTTGTATTCTGTAATTTTTATCAGTGAACTATTTTTTGATTTGAGGAAGTTTTAGTTTTTTATCTTGCAAATGGCGATTACAGAATTAAAATTATTTCTAATCTGACACAATAGATGCAAATATGTAAGAGTTACGGAGGTTAACTTCTTGCAGGTAGTCGTTATGTCTACATTAAAAATACTTAGTTTATTGTACATCAGCATTATTAGGAAACAAGAAATAGATACTAATTAATAATATTAACTCCTTTTTTCTCTCTTCCCCCTCCCCCCTTTTCTCTTTCCTGGCTCTCCAGAGAAGTAGACCTCTATACAGGCTACACAACCAGAAATATCCTGTGCATGCCTATTGTAAGCCGAGGAAGTGTAATAGGTGTTGTGCAGATGGTGAACAAAATAAGTGGAAGTGCCTTCTCTAAAACTGATGAGAATAACTTTAAAATGTTTGCAGTCTTTTGCGCTTTAGCCTTACACTGTGCTAATGTAAGTTTTATCTGTGGTTTTGTAAGCTGTTGGTTATAATGTGAAGACTCAGAATCCTAGTTAAGGATTTAATCTATTGTTTCATCTTCCAGACCATTAAAGTGATTTATAAGTCTGTTTTGTTGAATTGACAAGGAAACCACAATCATTGAATTCTTTGCTGAATAACTGTATTTTAAGAGGATGATAGGGATTCATTTGATGCCTTCTGAAATAATTGTACTCCGGATACATCCATTTCATGTAGCTAAACTGAGAGAGCATACTCTGAAATGTGAATGGTATCTGTATACTCTTCTGCATTAGGCAATATGATTCCTACTTATTTTTACAAATTCAGATCATGTATGTTACAATGTTAACTTAGAGGATGGAGATGGTATATATTCTCTCAACTCACAGAATCACAGAACGGTTGAGGTTGGAAGGGACTTCTGGAGATCATCTAGTCCAACCGCCCTGCTCAAGCCTCAGGCAGGGTCCTCTGGAGCATATTTCCCAGGATCGCATCCAGACGGGTTTTGAATATCTCCAGGGAAGGAGACTCCACAACCTCTCTGGGCAACCTGTGCTCCATATGCTTACTATTCAAAATATTAATTTAAACATTTATGTTTATATAGTGTGCTATATACTCATAATTATCCATTCTTCTAGTCAAGGGTTAGTACAGTTTTTGTGTTCAAAGCCTTTATTTCACAAAAATAACTATTAATTTAGGAAGTGTAGACAAAATAATGACCATTAGTACCTAAGTGTAAAAATCTAACACTAATCTTTGCAGAAGAAATTCATCGTATTCATGGGAGGTAAGATACAAACGCGATGGCAGTTAAGCTTGGTGATTTGCGTTAAGCCATTTCACATCATGCTGACAGAATACTGGAGCAGTAAATCTTTCTTACGCTCACTTAAGCTTGTGTCACATGACTCAAGGCAAGTAGACACCTGCATATAAATGAAACTTAGGACTATACAGTCACTGTTGTACGTGAGTTCCCTCTGTTTAGATGATAAATCTTACCATTCAGGGCATACTGCTCCAGAGATTTTTTTTACTAAAAAAAAAAATGGTGTGTCTTTACATGTTTATAAACCATGCTGCATCTACAATAGCTGTTTCAACCTCTAAATAATTCATTTGACTTATTTTTCGCCATTATTGCATAGTAATCTAGGTATGATAAACTTCTCATGTGCGTTTTCTGCATGTAAGTATCAGTTATTTGGACCAGTTAGTAGCTGAACTCATGCAGTGGCACAAAATGTGAATTGTGCCCCATTACCAGTTTTCTTTTTGTTACTCATATTACAAGGGATGAAATAGACTCTATTACCTGAATTCTGATTTTTTTTCTTGGGAGACATCAGGGCATAATGAAAAATCAGCAGAGCCCTAGATTTGTACCCCAGTGAGTAGATGCAGAAAGGTGTGATATTCTTGAAAGTTTATGGCCCTTATTGAGAAATGAAAAGGCCCAGTTTTCCAGAAGTACCAAATTTCTGTAATCTGTCACTTTTCAGATGTGAAATTGGGCAACCAAAATCACTGACATTTTTGCAGATGTGTATTTTAAGAATAAGTACTTGATTACAGGGAAGAAATATTATCTGCCTTACTAAAATCTCACATTAATGAGCAGCTCCCCTTTTTCAGATGTACCACAGAATTCGCCATTCAGAGTGTATTTACCGTGTAACGATGGAGAAGCTATCCTACCACAGTGTTTGTACAGCAGAAGAGTGGCAAAATCTCATGCACTGTACACTGCCTCCACACATCTGTAAAGAAATTGAACTGTAAGTATTTTTTCATTATAGCAATAGCTACAACTAATATCTGTCTTTTAAAAAGTTGATTTTTTTTCCCTAGGTCTAGTGCAGGGTTTGTAGGAAGCATTGTTATTATAGAACTATCCCAAATCAGAGGTTTATCTCTGGTTATCTTATACATAGGTACACTTTATGTGACCATTGAACAAACTGTATCTATCACAGGTGTAAAATAATACCTAGTCAGAATGGTAGAACTTTCCACAGAGATAAATAACTACGGCAGCTACATTAAACGTCAAGTTAGAGCTAAGGAGTGTAGCGATGAGGGATTTTTTCTGATTGGCTCAAGTTGCCAATACCTACAGCCAGAGGGTAGGCTGAGTTGGAACTTCAGTAGTTAAGACCAAATGGATGATATCATCCTTTTTTACATGTTTTAAAATAAAAGATTCAGCTCCCTCTTGTTTGTTTGATTATTTGTTTTTGTTTTTTTGGCTTTATGTGCATGTATATGTGTCTTGCAGAAGGGGCAAAAGGATACAGCTCTCTAAATCTTGAAGATAACTCAGAATTATCAATCTTAGATGTCAGGATTTAAGAGTTAGGGCCTGAATTTGGAGGAGGACTTCCAATCCTTTAGTTTACGGTATCTAAATAGTCTTAATCTTTCTCTAAAATAATTCAGTTGCTGTCAGCTCTCACAGGTCTGCTGTGCTATGCTGTGTGCTTAAGATGTACCTTTATCTGTATTTTATAGCTAGTCTCTCCCTCAGAATACTAACATTGGGAGTCATCTCAGTTTTTAAGCCACTGTTCCTGGCTCAGAACAATGAATTCTACTGTAGTGGCCCAGTGCCTAAAATCAAAACTGACTGAGTCACAAAGCCTAAATGATCTACTCTCCACATTTCACTCGCTCGTGTTGAGCGCTGAGCATTGTTGCTCTGATCAAGCAAAGCATGCAAGCATATGTTTCAGTTTAACAGTGACTACTTATGCTTAACGTTTATGATGTGCTTAAGTGATTTGCTTGAAAGCCGGGGTATTAGCAGGTTGCAGGATTACACCCTAATATAAGCTTATTCTTTGCAATATAATTTCTTGTCCTTTGTTAGATATTATATAACCCACCTCCTCAGCAAAATGACTTGCACTTGTAAAGATGACAGGTTTCATTCTAAACTGTATTAACATCCTTTAGTTTGAGAAATCTGAATGTATTTAACTATTTTCCAAGTAGTTCAGCTACCTTCAGCTCTGTTGCACCTGCTGGCTTGTTCCATGTGTTGCGTACGCTCTAGCATTTAGCTGGGTTCAGTGGAAAGTAAATAGAAGACTTGCAGCACAGCAGGTGCAAGGAAAGGGGTTAATTAATAATCGAAAGACAAACAGTTCTGCTGAGCTGGTCCCTAACATTAGGCCCAAATGTTGATATTGGGAGAGAGGAGAAGGCATGGACTAATGAAATATAAAAAAAAAAAAAAAACCAATATGAAATGTTTGGTTTTTTATGTTTATGCTTAATTTCTGTTAACTAATAAAAGTTTATTTTTTTCTTGTAAAAGTGAGTCTTACCCAGTTCTTGATTAGAAACTATTGGGGAAAAAAAAGCCTGTAAACGGGTTACCAAGCACACCACCCTTTCAATTTTTGGGAAGAAAAGTCTAGAATGTTGTTGGAGTGCCTGTAAAGCTCTGATCATCCTCGTTGAACAAAGATTTTGGTACATAACTTAAACAATGCATTCTTAGAGAAAGGTTTGTGTTTCTGTTGGTTAAGCAGAACCAAAGGCTAACCATCAAAGTTCCATTGACCTCAGTGGAAATATGTGGACTTACATAGCTGGAAGATTAAGCCTCTACAGTCAGGTTTTTGTTTATATTCAGAAACAAGTGAATGCTGTCAGAGACATGTTACCTAGTACTTTTTAGTTTAGAATGAGAGAGTGCTTATATTTACTAAGCTGAAAATTTCTTCTTAGATACCACTTTGACATCAGTCCCTATGAGGATGTCTGGCCTGCCATTTTTGTCTACATGGTCCACCAGTCCTGTGGGACAGCCTGGTACAGTTTATTCCTTTAATTCAATTATTTATGTATGTATTAGGAAATGTTGGGATCATTATATTCTAACACATGGTATTATTTTATTTGGAGTTTATTTACAATGCTTGGTCTGCACAGGGCTGTAAGAAGTGGATTGAGTTTCTTGTCCTAGTTTCTTGGTCTCCAGTTCATGAAATTTGGGAATAGCCAGATGGAAGAGCTCACAGGATCATCTAAGCAGCTGTCCTTAGAATAAATAGAAGTATTGTTTGGTTCTGATGTCATATTGCTTTTCGGTCAGAACATGGTGATGTTAAAGGCACTCTTGTCAAAAAGAAGGGCAGGTCCATGAATACTGATTTTTTTCAAATGCATGGTTGCTGAAATTAATCTAATATGCAGTTAAAAATCCAAGACTAGGATCTTATCTTCCAAAATAAATCACTTATCAGCATCATCATCCATTAATTATAGAAATGAGTGCTTTTCAAATGAAATGTCATTTCACTTATTGCCTTTTCTCTTAGTGTGCATTATCACTGCCAAGATCAGTAGTCTCTTGACTAAGTATGCTCCCACTGCTGAAATAAAAGAGCGACTCCAAATTATGGAGAAGTGTACAGATGGGCAACTGAAAGGAGAAGAACCCCCCTCCAAAACTGAGGAACAGTTGGAAAGATTTGTTGGTGGCTGTTTCATCTAAATAACTGGACCAATCTCCATTCCCTCAAAGCATAAATACAGTCAAGTGTGAGGGTCTTGGCTCTGGCATGGCTGGTTTCCCCCTTCTTCAGTATACTGCAAAGTGGATAACTATTCTAAATGCAGTTCCTCACTGCTTAGCAAAATTAGGGTATTTCTGTTGCTGAATGAATAGCTGTGGTTGCAGGATTTGAGGCCAAATTTTCAGCTAAGTGCTATTCTCTTTCTTTTTTCCTTCTTTCCTCCTCCTTTTCCTCCTTTCCTTTTCCTTCTTTCCTTCCTTCCTCCTTTCCTCTTTCCTAGGTATTCAGTAGAAATTGGATCTAGGTGGAAGTGACTGTTACGATGTTCTGACTAAGGATGTACTATTTTAAACAGTAGTTTTACCAATTGTTCTAGAATTGTCTGACTAAAATCTCTAGAATTAAAAAAGAAACCCTAAAGCTTTTTTGAAAGACAAGATGCCTCCATTTTTACTAATGTAAGACTAAGGCTAGAGGAGAATAATAATTACCTTGTTCAATGTGCAACCATCAAAATATGTTTTCCTATCTAAATGGCCCCATCTAATAAATATGTTTACATGGTAGCTCAGAGACATTCAATTTTGTTTTCTCAGCCCACATACAAGCAAGATGAGGACATTAGTACTGCATCTGTGTGATACTTAAGAAATGATCAGAACATGGAACTTTAAAAAAAAAAAAAAAAAAAGAAAAGTTATGGAACTTAAAGATCATGGAAATTAAAAAAAAAGTCAAATTACAGTAACAAAAAAAATGTGGTAATAAAGGAAACGATCAGTTTATGTGGGGAAAAAGTCAGGGTGTTAGAATTCTGGCAGCTTTGGTTCAGTTCTAGGCTTGAAGGTGATACTCCTTCTCCTTGGGCAATTTCTTTTAGGTACGTTAGAAAATTTCATGTTACATCTAATATGTACCTGAATTTCCCATTTGTAAACAAAAAAAATATTCTGCTTTCCTTTCAAAGCATCATGGGTAGATAAAATCTATTAAAAATTGTGCAGAGCTCTGATACTACAGGATAAGAAAGCTTTTGGAGGTATTGTTAATGAGCACATAAGCTAAACATAACAATTATTTTATTACTGCTATTTATTATTACCTTTGTCAAAATTCTTTTGACCATAAATTCACTTCACATGTACATATTAATAAGCAAGAAGATATCAAAACTCATTAGATTTTTGTTTTTTTGTCTGTTTGCTTTAAAAAAATGTTTTTGTTTTAATCATAAATGATATTTTCAAGTTGTTTATTAGGCATAAACTTTCAGTCTTCAGCAAGTTCGCTAAATAGTGCTTTACAGAACAACACTTTAGGTTTCTGGGAATGGAGCGGTTATGTAATCATATTGCATGAACTCGGTAGGTTGACTTACATTCCAGAATTTTACAGATGAAACTAAGCGCGTTGTCAGGTACTCACACTCTTCTGTCCTTGCTGAAACTTGAATGACTCTCCTGATCAATGAGCCATACACATTGAGAGTCAATCCTAGCAAGAAAAGTAAACCAAAGAACCTTTTTCTCCTCTGTAGGTTATTTTATCTATTCTCATTTCTTATCTCACCAAATTCTTTCCTTTCAAGCTTTGAACTTGAAAAGCTGTGTCGATTTACTATGTCTGTGAAGAAGAACTATCGCCGTGTGCCCTACCACAACTGGAAGCACGCAGTCACCGTTGCACATTGCATGTATGCCATACTTCAGAACAACCAGGGGCTTTTCACTGATCTGGAGGTAAGTGAGGGGACTGTATCAGTTACTAGGTCTCATTAGAGATATCAGCCATCACTGACGTGCATTTCCTCTGCTAGAATTTTGATACCAGCTTGGGCAGAGTATGTAAACCATAAAATGAATCTCATAATCCTTGCTGTGGAATGAGTATGAGTAGAAAGCTTGAGGAAGGAGAATTTTTTGAATTCCTCCTCGTAGTGTTTCCTTCACGTTTTTCAGGTGTGCTCACTGAAGAAGTAGCAACAAATTTGCTATAAGACTGTTTTGACGTTCTCCCTGCCCACTTATAACCGCACCCTTTATTTTAAATGTTTAAGAAAACGGCAGATCTGTACTGAGGGGAGGGAAACCCCCCTGAATGTTGGACATTGTGAGATCTGGGAGATGCAGAGTAGGACAAGGGAGAACGGCTTTGGTGTTGCAGAGACAGTTGACATGTGAGTAAAGGAGAATAGAAAGGATGGAAGGAGAGCAGTTGACCAGACGTGTTTGTTGCCTGATGAACTTTTGTTATGCAGCAGCTGTCCTTACCATGCATATATATTTTTCTAAGACAGCTGCATAGAGGTTGGAAAAATCATACTTCTAACAGATCAGTAACTGAAAAAGTTACAATAATAAAATGGAAGGTTTAGATGGTTTAATGTTCATGTACACTATGAAGAGCTACCACTTTTTTTTTTTTTTTTTTAATTACTGTAGGTGCAACTGGGAGTGCTGTTATTTACCTGAAACTTCCCACTGGGAGAACCCGTTTTTAATTGTACATCACTTTGCCAAATGCTAGCCATTTAGGTTGTAATTTTCCAAGCTCACTGGCTTCTTCAGGCTGATTTATTTGGGGAAATTTCAGACAAAATTCTTTGGCCCTTTTAGAGAAGCATGTTATGAAAAATTGTGTTTCTGTCCAGTTTATAAGAACAAAATTTGGTGACCTTTCATTAGAAAAGGTCTAGTGCATTCTGTTTTAAAGCTGGGACATGAAAGTTGGCACTTCTGCCAGCCATATGTTGAAAGTTGGTCAGGTTACACGTTTGGAAAAAATCAATGTTCCTTCATAACAAAAAATCTGTAGGTTGCATGCTTGGGAAATATTTAGAGCTTTCATGACTTTCAGTACTAACCAAATAGTAAGTCCCTTCTCTCTGAAACAATTGAGACGTGGGGTGAGAAATACTGGGAGAGCAAAAGAGGCAGCTGTTGAGAGAGATGGAAGCAGTCATTGTTCCCTGTCAAACCTCATTCAGCCTTCACCCACTTGAACACTTTATCCCAGCCTGCATTCAAGCTCTTGCTAGCAGTCTCGTCATCCTTACACTGGAGATGTATCTGACAAGAATACAGGCAGCTGCTGAAAGAAAAAGGCTGGGGAACTTGCGCAGGCTGGTCTTAGGAGAGGGAATGATGATATGTGCCTAGGTAGGCAGAGTGGTGGGAACACTATCAGAGAGATTCTCATCTAGACAAATAGATCCAACAGTTGGGAGTGATTAAAGACCAGGGACTTAAGCAGGGACACTAGGTACAAGCTCAAGAGCACAGGGACTAGGCATTATAATTCTGAGGGACTGAGACAAGAACGAGTTCCTGGGAAATAGAGACTGGAAGAAGCCAGGCAAAGAGAACTATCTGGTATAAGGAGCCAGACAGACAGAAAATAGGACTGGGAAAACCACAGGTTGGAAAGGATGCTATGGGAGAATTAAACTTGTGGAGCAAGGACAAGAAAGCTTGTGCCCTCTAGATGTAATATACAGCACAAAAGATCCTGAGACTCATATTTCCTTTGCTGTCAGAGAGCATTTTTGAAATCCATTGGCAAAATGTCTTGCCCCTCCTGATAACAGTGAAAAGGGGATGCCAGCTTTCTACAGCTATTAGTTATTTCATGACTTAGAGATCTCTGTTATGTCCCTAAGGGTTCCACTTCTGCTGAAGATCTGTGCGGATGTGTGCTGCTGTATGGTCAGTTTTATACTGTTTGCTTTTTAAAAACACACTTCACAAAAATGTAGTAGTGAAAGGACATCATTAAAAATAAAAGTGAATGATTAAAAATAAAGGTGAAGGTCTGAAAATCAGAAATACAAGAATTAGGAGTGCTACAACCTTAATTGAGCACATTATATTCTATAACATATTTAATTATATGATCACATGTGATTTTTCCACAGAATCACAGAACTCTCCATACAGTACGCAGGATGGATGTTGCTCATTTAATAAGTGGCTATTGAGAATTATTTTTCTCCTTCACTTCAGTACTTTCCTTATTTGTTGAACACTCATCAGAACCTACTGTTAGATAGAGTGTTAATTTCATAAACACTTTTTGTGATGTTCATGCCTACAGCAACTGCTTCACAAACATTAATGAATGTGTTTTTTGAAACACATCTGTTATGCGAAGAAATTTCACAAGTGTCCACTGTCTTTGTGTGTTGAAAGAGAGATTTTAGGCACGTCTGTAGATCACGTTAATGAGTACTTGGAAAAGTTTGGTCATTAAGAGGCTTAGTCAGCGTCTTGTAGGAACTATGTTGCAGAGGCACTGTTAGCGCTGGTCTTTAGGACAGCAGTCTTGACCAGGAGCTCATACTTCCTGTATATTTCCCCTCACTCAGTAGGTCTGTATTTTCTGTTTTTTTTTAATAAACAATGATAAGGAGCCAGCAGACAGCAAGACTATCTGTACAAAATTCTGATCTCTTCCCAAAGCAGAATCCCTCCAATAGCACGTGATTGTGAAACAGTGTGTTATAATTCATAATATAAAAATACTTGAATTACAATTGGACAGAGAATTTTAATTCTACATTTCTTACTTTTTGCATTTTTTGCAATTTTAAGGACATTTTTCAGTGTATTTTCTGAATATATTGTAGTCCTAGTGCAACACTTAGGTAGGTATTTTGAGAGACAAGGGTGACATCTAGAGGCAGGAAATATATTTCACTTTTCTTATTTATCTCGAATTTCTTGTAGCGGAAAGGTCTTTTAGTTGCATGCTTGTGTCATGACCTGGATCACAGAGGTTACAGCAACAGCTATCTTCAGAAATTTGACCATCCTTTAGCTGCTCTCTATTCCACATCAACAATGGAACAGCACCACTTCTCGCAGACTGTGTCCATCCTGCAGGTAGGATTATCAAAATTGTACCGTCTGTGCAGTAGAGTCCGATTGTGGAAATAGGAGTCACCTCATTACCCCATAGATCTTCTGAAGCATGCTTAATTTAATTTCTGGATTGTAGTGCTCATCTAGAAAAGAAGTGTGGGAGAAGTACTTGCCTTGGTTTATTACAGCGAGTCTGGCTCCAGAATTGGCAACCCAGCTGTCCAAAAATAATGCGTATGTCTTGAAAATCAAAGCATCTTTCTAAAAATCTAGATATTATGAAAAAATGATAATTGCTTATTTGATAGTGTACTGTTTATGGCCTTCCTATGGAGCTGTTAGCTTCTGGGTCAACTCACAGGATTTTTTCCTACAACCATACAGCATAGGAACTTTTTTGAGAAAGAAAACTCAGTTTCTCCTTTAGTTACATATTTCCAGTAGAACGTGTTTCAAAAGAGTCTTTAATTATCCTGAAATTCTGAAGAAAAACTCAAGAACTGCCAAAAGTTTCTATGAGAAGCTCTAAAAACTGCTGTAATAAATTCCCTGAGCATTAAATGTGTGGCATGAAGTGTGCATAAATTATTTACCTAGGACCAAATGTTAATTTTGCATGCATGAGAAGTTTAAGCTGGTTTGGTTATGTTGTTACGTGCTTTTTTTTGTTCTTCAGTAAACTGAAATAAATAAATTTGACTATGGTAATATTCTGTGATAGACTAGAGATATGAAGTAATATCTCTGTATGTTTAATTAATACAAAACTACTAGAAAGCATGCAGTCACATTTAAAGCTAAATATGTTCAGTGACAAACAGATATTTTCTCATTAGCTAAAAATTGTTCATGCTGAATTAGAAAAGAAGAGTGAGAACTCTCACCTATGAAAATGATTGCCAGTCCATAACATACTTGTGCTCACTATTTTTATGGATTTTTTGCAAATGCCTGACACACCGCCTTACCATCCTACTGTGGCACTAATTCCTTGTTAACTTTTCTTTCTTTCTGGTCTTTCAGGGGGAAGAGATTTATTTTCTTGAATATCTCATTAGCTTTTAGGAAAATATATATTCTGTATTATATTCAGAAACATCTTATGATTATGGTTTTAGGTATCATATACATTTCTTCAGAGAATGGAAGCTTTGTCTCTGAGTATTCCTCCGTGTAGGAGGGTGTAATTGAGTCCTTCAGTGGTGATATGGCACTAGATTTTTAGTATTCAGTGGTTGTATGGACTAGATTTTTAGTATTCATTCTTCATGTGAATTGGTACACAGTGAGCAAGTTCATTAATACTTCTCTGTCCCACTATGCTATGCGAAGCAGACTTCTGTCATTCTTTTATAATCATTTTGAATTTTTCCTACAGAAATGGTGTAATTGGTGAAAGCCCCATTTGCAGAAAAGGCAGAGAAGCTGTTTGCCTCCCTGCCACCTCCTAGCCATGGCTGTGAGAGTGAGTGAGGAAAGGGAGATGGTCAAGGCTGCTGAGTGGATTCAAACACTGGCTGCCCAAGTACCCATGGGTGGTAGCTGGCAGCACAGACGGATCACAGCAGCCTTTTGGGCTTGCTGTTCTTCATTTGAATCAAAAAACCTTTCTGCACGCTTTCTGGACTGTTATCAAAAGAACCTTTAGGATTTATCTCAATGAGTGTTAATTTTGTTATTAAACTGTAGTGCTTTCCATCTTTTGAAACTTTATAGCTGCTTTTCTCATCCTCTGACAGTTCTCATCCTCTGACAGTTCACATGTACACCATTCACTAGCTTTAGCACAGCAGGAAGGAGTAAAATCTTAGCAGTCATGTGTTGTACATAATACTTAAAAGCCTAAAAGATATGCTCAGAAATTGCAGCTTCAGGCAGTACTTCGCTAAAACAAATTAGTTGATTTCTAGTAGTGAGAAGGGAAACTGTCACAGCCACTGTGGTCTTCCTGATATTGCAGCTTCTAAAGCCTAAAAGTGACAGCTCCAAATCTAGCGTAATTTAAATACTAAGACAAACAGTATCCTTTTGTTGATTGGGGAGTTAGGGGAGAGAACTCTCTCAAAAAAAACAAATTCTGAAAACTAATAGTAGTCATTTCCTAGTCCCAGAGTGTTGATGATGGGTTAAAATGTTCTGAATCTTTTTTTTGAACGTTATGTATTGTGACTTAAGAGGCTGCCAAATGAACACTGAGACATGGATGGATTGTATTTTCTATTCATTATTCACAATAAATCTACTTGTCCAAGTAAAAATGTTGGAAAATGACATTTGCGTTCCGGATGATGAGAGAAGCCAAGCCTGTTCGTACCACGGAGGAATTCTTTTGAAGAAATTATGTAAATGCTTGACAAAAGTCAGGGAAACTTTTGATGAGCTTCAACCCAAATGCCAATTAAATGTCAAAACACATCTGCATTTTATATATTTTAATAATATTTTCTGTTTGTGAATATGCACACCTTGACATGTCTGGCTGGCTCATCCTTTTTTGTTTTTTCCCTGTTTCCTCTCAACAGTACAAAGACTTTTGACAAGTTGCTTGCAAAAGCTTAGAGTCAGTGAATAGCGTTGACTTTTTGAAAAGTGATACAGTTTCATGGGCGATCACAGTACATAGATATTGTCAGTTAAATGCACAATAATACATAGTGGAAATTGAAAGGGGATGCTAGTGGCATGTTGCCAGAGCCTCCATAGTGGAAAGCATAGTTTATGAGTCAGTCAACTCGTGGTTGAACAAAGCTACTTTTTCCTCTAAATGTTCATATACATGAGTAATTAAGTTTATTTCTAAAAAGAAAATTATATCAGATAGTGCAGCAACTGCAGAAGCGTTTCATTTGGAGCACTGTATCCAAACATAATTATTTTAGTACTGTAACTTGGATATTTCTTTATCTGTGTTACATGTTATACAATATCAAAAATTATTCTTACAGAGTGAATCAAACACTCAGTTTACTAGCTTGGCAGGGCAGTACTCTGGATCAGGATTAAATCACAAATTTCCAAGCTAATACTATCTGAAAGTGCTGTGTAAGTAGTGCTTATAAATTGTAATGGGAAAAGCTAGCATTTTTCTCTAGTAATACTTTCAGGCTTCAGAAAGAGCAAACTCTAAAGGAAGCAGTCCCTCAAACAAACCAGTGGTTTAATCACAACAGTTTCATGACAATATTTAAAAAGGAAGGATAAAAAAGTGCATTTTGGGCTGTCTGCATTTGAATTTGTGACAAAAATTGTCAGTGGGTTGTAAAACTGTTGTAACCTGTCTGGTAAAGTAAAGACTGAAATCATCTCAGAATTAGAGCTTTTGCTTTTTATTGGTTTTTTACTTTTTCATAGCTGGAAGGGCACAATGTCTTCTCCAATCTGAGCTCCAGTGAATATGAGCAAGTCCTTGAGATCATCCGCAAAGCCATCATTGCCACAGACCTTGCCCTGTATTTTGGAAATAGAAAACAGCTTGAAGAGCTGCATCAAACGGGAGCATTAAACCTTAAGAACCAAGCACATAGGTAAAGCAGCAAACTACTATTAGTTCTTGAGGTTATTAGTCCTAGAGAAGAAAAAAACAAAAGCCAGCAAACTTATTTTTGCACAAGACAACAAAGAATTGAAATAAAATTAAAATCTTCTGTGTACATAGTAATTTTGTTACATGCAGAGTTTCTAAGACTAGTTATATATAAAATGCCAGGTATATAGTAGTAATTGACAGTGTTTTGTATTTGCATGCCATTGCCTTGAGATTTCACTTGCACAATTCACTAGCAGTTTATTGGTGCAGGACAGTTAGATGGTGGGGGAAATAAAATGTAAAATGTAGTAATTCATTTTATTTTTTATTTCAGTATTTTTATAATTCTCTAAACACACTTTTCTGAAATGTTAATACTGACTGGAAGTCACTTCCACATCATCTAGAGAAGTAGTTATTTCTAATTTCTGTGTAGGACAGAATTCTGGTTAGATCTCAACCTTTGTGTGTTAAGATAGCTCCTAGTTTAAAAACTATGCTACATATGCATATATTCATGCATACATGTCTTTGTCCATGTGCACCCTGGATGAGAGGTGTCTCGTAACAGTGTTCATTAGAGTGCTCATACAGCCCTATCATACTCCTCGTAGAGCTTCTTAACTGGAAAGTGGATCCTGTCTTTGCAATAATGCAGATAAAAAATCGGAGAAGTAGGAAAGTATTAAGTCATAATTCTGATTTCTCCAAACAGAGCTTTGGTACTAGGATCTTCTTTACTTTTATGAGGAGTTTTATGGTTTCTGCTGATGGTATTGAATAATTTATCACAACCCTGTACAAAGGGCTGTTATTAGAAGCTTATTTCACAGTATGGAGCTGAAGAAATTTATTAGACTTGAATAAACCTTAAAATCTTAAAGACACAGAATTACAGTAGGTTCTGTTAATCCTAGAATGAAATTAACCAGAAAATCTTAAATTTAGACTTTATAAACATTGTGTAGGATATGCAATAGTACACAGCTATTTAGTGTATGACTGAATGTTTTCATCTGTTTACCCTCAGGATATTTTCAGTGCAAAACCGTGTGCCTCATGATTGGAAATCAGTTTGTAATGTAGTTAAAGAATCCAAGACTTAAAGAATCCAAGACTTAAAATTGATACGTATACAACAATTTAATGTTATTTCTTTTCTAGAGATCGAGTTATTGGTCTGATGATGACCGCTTGTGATTTGTGTTCTGTAACAAAGTTGTGGCCAGTTACCAGACTGACAGCCAATGATATATATGCAGAGTTTTGGGCTGAGGTATGTGCGTTTCTTTTATTTACTCTGTTTTTACAAATGGAAGTATCCAGCAAGAGGAAAACAGCAATAGAACAATTTGCAATAGGGATCTTAACATGTTTGTTTTAAAGACTGTTCATTGGTGCATGCACGAACTGTTTTGTTAATTGCTTTGAAATCCTTCAAAGAGCCAGGTTAGCTTCCTGATTTGCAGGCAGTGTTTTTTCTGCATATTAAAGACAGATTTAGAAAGCATGTCCTAATATAAAGTGACTAAGCAGCAGAACATGTAAGAATCTGTAGGATTTTTTGGGTCGGTAACAGTAATTTTATGAAGGTTCTATTTGTATTCTAGAAATGCAAAACATGAAACCAGCTTCCAGGCAATTGCCTTAAAATGCACACTTCTAAAGCTTCAGTATGCGTTCAGGAAATGCTAAAGCAAATATGACAAATCTTAACATTGTTCCGATCCTGGCTTTTAAATCTTCTTTGTGAGCCAGCTGAACAACTGGGTCCTAAAGAGAGAGAGCTGACCATTTATCTGTGGAATAACTCTCAGTTTAAGATTACTGAGAATCCAAACATGGCGTTGAGATGTGCTGTGTGATCATGTCCATACATAAAGATGCAATCTCTGGTATGTCCTGTGCTGAGGAATAAATGATCTGTTTATTTGATTGTGAAGATGAAAGAAAGACCGCTTTGTGGACATAAGGAATAAATTCTAAGGGTGTTGTCTGGGGTTGAATTCTGCAGTTTCGGAACATATGTAGTATTTTCAGAACTGGTATTGCACATGGGTATGTAGGCTGTGATTCTTTTCTGTTATGTGCCCAGTGGAAGTCTGCAGAATTCAGTGGACTTATTTCTGGTTTATATAGGTACAAAATTGAAATCAGGCCTACAGAGTTGATGTAACATGCATATAACATGGAGATTTGTCCTACCTGCTGCATGTTTTTTATTAAATTTAAAATATGTATGGCTTACTTTTTTTGTTGTTGTTGTTGCATTTAAATGATCTTACATGCTTAATTATGAACAGCTCAGACCACAATAAAATGTTTGAAAATTGCAAACTTTATGAACTCAAAGATCTAGTTCAGTAGTTGTTTTATAAAAATGTCAGCACTGAAAAGTGAGTGTTCTTACAAGTGATGTAATGGCGATATGTTAATGTGCCTCACTGATTGCATACTCAATTTGTTGTAAAAAGACCCTTTTTTTTTTTTTTTTAAACTGCCAGTCTTGTGAACTCAGTGTAGAAGGAAGGATCAAGCTGATTTTTTTTTCCTTCTCAACAACAGCAAAGATAGAATTATGGGCAGAATTGAGCATGCCAAATTTTAACTTGTTTTGTAATCCAAGGATGAGTTAATAATATTGGTTCTTATAAAACATTAATACTTAATGGCACAAATTTACATTAGAAATTATTGACTGAAATTGAAATCTGTAACTGATATTTTACTGAATCCCTTTTAAGAAGAGGTTATCTGACAGATGTGAGGAGTTGGATTTGTTTGCAGTGCAGTCAAAATAGCTCACAGATCTAACTGCAGGTCTAAATGTTTCTCTAAAATAGAAGACTGGGGACAGATACAGAGAAAATCCTAGGAAGGCTAAATAGAAAGCTATGTAGAAAGTTTAGATTGCATGTCACTGTAGAAATTGTTAACTAATTGGGGGAAAAAAGTAAACTCTGGAAAAGTTGTAACTTTGATTAGATTGAATGACTGTATTACAGTTTAAATACAGGGAAAAAAGTTGCTTCCATTTTCTACTTGAGTTCATAATCTTAATATGCTGAGTAAGTTACTAGAGGATTTTTGTAATAAGTTTTCAATATATAATTATTAAAACAATAAACGACTATAGAGCAATTTGCAGCAATTTCGCACTACATCAATGTTGACTTTTTTTTTTATTGAATGAAGCGTAATGTTTTCAGCAAAGTTGTACCTCTTGCTATGACTTCATCATAAACCTTTCCCACAGTGCTACAACTTGAGCAAAATAATGCCTTTGCTGATCGATTATATAGGATTGCAGCCTTGTAAAAGATTTATCTGTTGTAATTTTTTGTGAGATATGAGAAACTAGATATTTGTTAAAACGCTTTATGCAGTATTTTTTGAAGAGACTTACAATAAGCCGCTCTATTTCTGTATCTGTACTCTTAAGTACGATACAAACTTCTTGATTTAGAATTTCCACTTTCAGTTTGTTTTTGATCACAGTCATCAACTATGGAGATAAATACACTATTTTTTACAGTATACCTTATCTAGTAATGCATCACGTGCATGTTGCCACATACCTTCTTCTTTCAAAGTAGAATGATGAACATAATTCTGAGTTTTATTCCAAGACACTTCATACTACGTTAAGCAGAGAACTTAAAATTATATGAATTAAATGTGCATTAAATGGTGCAATGGTGAGGGTTTGATCACTGAGACTGGCTGTAGACAGTCTTGACCAATCAACAGCAGTACTTCAAGCAAGTGGGAAAAAAATAAATTTTACTTGCAGGAGGCACATAAAAATTGGTCACAGTTCCTAAATAAGAATCCGCTGAATTTCTGTGCTGAGAGTTCTTACAGGTTTCTTTTTTATCAGTTGGGGAAGGAGGCCAATCCTCTTGCTTCTTTTGAAGATAAAACGTCTGACAAGCTAGACAGTGAAAAGATGCAGTGATTCTAACCTCTCTAACTACGTGATGAGGCAAATATGGAGCATGAGAACAAAGCACAAACAGATATTAATTCAGAAGTAACTTTGTGATTGCATCTCTTGTTGATTAGCCACAGCAGCGCCATAGTAATAGGTGATGTTGAGGCCAAATATGCAGGAGGGAATTAACTTCAGGAAGCCTTCATATTTTCTGAACCCGAGGTATTTTTGAAGCTGACGAGTAGAAAGACCGTTGTTAACTACTCAGCTCACACCAGAATTAATTTATTATATTGTAAACTTAAGGTGGCAAAACCCTTCCGTGGAAGAGAATATTGGCACTTGGAATTTGACTTGACACGATCTCATAAGAAAGGTGTGATAAATTATCTTCTGGAGGTGCCTTTGCTGACTGTAGAGGAAACCTAGAAAACTAACTTAGACAACTCTCCTCCTCCTTTTCCCCAGGGTGATGAAATGAAGAAAACGGGTATTCAGCCTATTCCTATGATGGACAGAGACAAGAAGGATGAAGTCCCTCAGGGTCAAGTATGAACTCTCTTTGTAAAATGATACATGTTTTATAGTGTTAATAAAACATGTATATAAAAACTTTTGTATATATTATATATATTATTGACTATTGCATTTGATGTTAGGATTTGTGTGTGCCCTGCTGAATTCTAGGCTCTGCATGCAAATTAGAGCTGATCTTCTTAGGCAGCAGTGGAAAACTTTTTTTCTAAGACATTACTGAAACAACAACATGCTATTTGCTGCTGCCCTGAAATACTGTATAACATAGCTCTGCTTCCTGTAACAGAACAACACTGTGATTCTGTGAAGACTTCAGGAATGGTTTAAATATGATAAAATGTTCCCAATGTGAAAGCATCATGCAGTTTCAATAAGAAAAGTGAAATCTGTCTTCTGGTTAGACTTAATGCTGATCATATATTAGTGCTTTTACAGCTATTTATATCTTATTACCATTCTTATTTCCTTCCTCCTAAGCAAATATTCTGTGAGTGGTGACAGGCCTCTGGCAAAGTTGTATTTTTTTGAAAACCCACGTGTCTTTTGGAAACAGTCTGTTCCCTCTTGTATGATAAATGGTTGGATAAGGTGATATAAATACTTAGTAATGGCAGTCTCTCCTTTCATCCATACAATCAAATAAAATATTGAAGAAGTATTGAGAAAACAAATGACTAAATTTCTGAAAAGTTGTGGAGTCGTGAATACCAAGCACAGATTTGAAAAGACAGATGTCACTCATCTGGCGTATGGTCAAGTATTTAATATGTCATGACATTATAATGTGCAAATTAATTCAGGTGAGCTTTGGCATTGGGTGCTAGCATGTGGGTTAAAGACTACATGTAAGATAAATCCACAGCAAAAGATTAAATGCGGTTTCTGGTTAGGTAACAAAGGATGTGAAGTCTTTTGTCAAATATTTTTAAAGCAGTTTTGCTGTGGGTTTGGTCTGGATGGTTGTTGAAGTAATCTGCAAAGGGATCTTTGCAGTGATTCTCAATGATCATTTTATGAAGGATGGAGAGCTGCCAAGGACAACTTTTGTTCGCATATTAAGGACTCCAGTGCAAAACGTAAAGCTGGCATGGTACTCATGCTCCTCCTCTTTTCCCAGATAACATGAAGTAGTTTGGGGGACACTGCTATCAGATGACTTGTCTGGCAGACACATCTGCCACATGACTGAAAAACTGTCGTGAGCAGCTGGGGGTGAACAGGTCTTTCAAACCTTTTCTGAAAATGGGATCAAGGATCAGCCTGCCTTGGAGACAGGCCATAGGATAACACAGGAGACTAGCTGCCCGTGGTCAAATTCAGACCTCAGTGCTGGCCATTGACTTTCTCTGCAGCCCTTTACAGGCTGTGTGGTCTTGATAAGGTGTTGTGTAAAGGAGCGTTATTGTGGAATGTAGATGTCTTGGGAAAGTTTTAAGGCATTGCTAAAATAATAGTGTTAGTAAAGTACTGTGGAAGAATGCAAAAAACAGCAACTCAGCACTGTAGCAGCATGGAGAACCTCACAGATCCCTGGCTCTCTCCTGTATTCACAGGCCTCTGAACTGTGATTCACAGGTTTTTCTGCAGGTCTCATGAAGGAGATCTAGCAGGAATAATATCTAGTGTGTCCTAATAGAAGTGCAATGAAAGTCACCTATTTCATTCTTCATACTTGTAACTCTAGCTAAACCCAGTCATGTGCAATTCTGAGGAGTGTCATCAACACTTTTTCTACTTAGCAAGGGACTACTTGCACTCCTAGATGCAAGTTTTCACTGTTTTGTCCTGAATGCAAATTGAACTGCCTCACCTGTTCCTGGCTAAAATATTTACATGCAGATTTTGAAATATTTGTGTTTTTAGGCCAGTACTACTTCATTAGTATTTTGGGTAACTACAGCCATTGCTTTTTCATATTCCCGAAGATAGTAATGTGAAGAGATATAAGCATTAAAGAGTAAATTTCTAAAAGCCTCAATTGTCTGTTTTAGAAACTTTTTAAAACTGTTTGTGTATTGATTTTCCTTTGCAAAACCGTGCAGCAAAATATGCAGCAATTAGTGCTGTTTTCTGCTTTTCCTAGGGAAAAATGATTTATAAACATAAATTCAAGAAGAAAAAGGTCTTTGAATTAACTGTTCTGAATAAACATGCTAACTAGTTCTTCTTCTGACTAGCAGGACAAAGAAAAAAGTAAATTCCATTTTCTACTTATATACATACATACATATATTTATATATAAGATTTTTTTTTTTTTTTGCTTTCAGTGACCTCTGAAACCTAACATGGCGGTAGCTAGCAAAAAGCACTTAATGAGCTCTGAAATAAAAGGCAGTATTTAAAAACATAGGAAGTACCAAAAATGTTTGTAGATTAAGCATTCTATTTAAGAGGGACTATAGAAATTTTTATATTCTGAAACATATTAATCACAGTATGCTATATCACATTTTTAGCATAAAATTCATCATTCTTGTAAGGAATTAGCAGTGAAATTATTGCATTCAAATATCTAGTATGAGCCTAACAAGAGGAGAAACATTTTTCTGCACTTGTTTTATTTTTCCACAGGCTGTTTTAGTTATCTTTGAACATCTTCAAAAGTACACAGTATTACAGTTCGTATTGTTCTTAGCATATGTGAAAGAATTGTTAATGGGGTGAAAGTACAGATCTAAGAAATATGCTTTCCTCCCCTTTAAACCTTACTGAGCATTGTTTGAAGTACTGCCCTCATCAGGTTCTCTTTCACTTTGTTCTCTGTTCTGTGCTTCTTAATACTATTACAGTAAGATAGTAAGCAAAGTAGAAGGGGAAGAAACTAACTTCAGGAGTCTAGTTTTAGCTGTGATATCTCACAACAATGTTACGGCAAAATGTAAGATTTAGGACATACATAGTTCTGTATATATATTTAGGATGTATGTAGTTCTGTCTTTCCTGTATAGACGTGGAATAATTCAATGAAGTATTATCATACATTTCCTTAGGCTCAAAAAAAACGTATTAATGGGCTTGGGATCCTGTATTTTTATGTGGATTTTAGTTATAGCATTAATACCTTAAATGACAGTGGTGCTTAGGAAATGAGGATATGCATAAAAATGTAACATCTGGGAAAAAAGTCCTGCTTCAGTTATTATCTTTGATAATAGTTTGCGCTTAGGTCTTCCTCTGACTTGGGTAGCTGGATCAGTTGGTCTCTGTAGTGATTTGCAGCCTTTGTAGCCCAGCTCATTTAAGTGTCTTAATTTGTCTCTTCCTGCTGTGGAGTCTGTGCTGAGGATTTATTCTAACTCAGTCGAGATCCCATCAGCCTCTTTTCTGCCTCTCTTTGGAGAAGTTAAGCAGGTGCCCTGAGAAAGGAGGCAGTGCTGCAAAGGTATTTTCTGCCTTACCTTCCACTGGACCTGTGAATGCCTCTCACCCTCAACAGACAACTGAGAAAAGTTGTGAATGACTGGAACGTGTGAACTGTTTCTCCTCTCTCCCTTCATTACTCAGGCTGGCTTGACTTGCTTATCAAATGGGCTTTCAGGTCACTGCATGATTTTGGTACTTGTACTTTCTTCATAAGTTCTAAAATTCTTACTTCTGAAAGAAATTGCTGCCATCTTTTCAACTGTGCATCCTAAACACTAATTACGTTTGAGAGGTGGATCTTTAACTTTCAGACAGAAACAATTTAAATAAGAAATCACTCGTAACGTTGCAGTCCTTGCTGCCCGAGAGAAACTTTTTTATTTTCAGTCTAAGCATTTTAACTTAGAAGTTTTCAAGGCCTGAAGGAACACATTTTATTGTAAATACTGGGCAGGATATTTGGAATATGTTTTAAGTGAGTTTAATTTCGTCAAAATCTTTCGTGTTTTACCGTACATCACACTTTCAGACTAAGCAGGAACGTCTACAATGTGACTGTGCCTAACATCTCCTTTATAATTTATGATAGGAATGCAGCAATCTGCTGTTTTACAGTGAAATAAAATAGCCCCCTTAAAAAAAACAAACAACACATAGGATGAAAACAAAACACACTGTGCAAAATAGCAAACTTTTTTGTGGTGGACAAATACCCCTCCTGTTTGCTGCCTTGCCTCATGGCCAGCTGTTGTTCCTTGCTGTTAGTTGCCTCATATATACTTTAACTCAGATTGCTGGTTTCTCAGGTCAGAAACTTTGACTTACATTTTTAAAGTACAAAATGAACCTCTTTACAGAGCAATATGAGAGCAGTATTGATAAGGGTGAGAGCAACAGTTGCTCTCTGATTTCTGAATAAGTGCCAGCGTTCAAATAGTTAAAAAGACTTTTATTAAATCCTTTTATCATGGTGCAACAGACGGGATTTCAATAAGATGCATTTAAAACCATCTGAAGAAAAAGAGACCATGATGCGCTTGTATGGTTATCATGAGAGTCTGGCATAAATGGACAATGTTATAACAGGTCTGAATTTAACCTGTCATCCTTGGTTATATATAAGTGACATTTTCCAAAAATTCCATCTTGTGTCATGACAGTTCAGCTGTTAACATGGTAGCTATCATAGAACCCTTAGCCTAGATTAATCAGACATCATTAACAAAGTGTTGATTTTACTTTTCTGAATAGATTTGTATGATAATGTTAAATATATGTCACTGCCACTTACATGAGAAGAAATAGCAAAAACAAGTATTGGTCACAGTGAACACTTTTTTGAAATTTTCCAAAGGTGCAAAGCCCTTAGCGTCTCAAGTAGTTGAGCTGTTCCAGAAGACATCAGGCAAATCCAGAATCTGACCATCTTTTGCAAATGCTGCAGAACCATCCTTTTTTTTTTTTTTTTCCTGAAATGTCTTTTCTATCAAAGAGTGATGGAAATGTTGGTAAAAGTGGCTCTGCCATCTCACCTAACTTCCCACTAGTAGTGCTACCAAAAATCCAGATGGATCCCAAGCCAAGCAAATCAACTGAATTATAAAAGGCCCTGTAGTAAGTCTTACCTGAAGCAGATGTGTTCAATCATAAGAGAGAGACACTTAAGCAACTTGTAATTGGCAGAGATTTTGCTGTTGCACTTTGTTTTGAAGTTTTCAGATATTAGGATGATGTGCAGAAGTACAAGGTACTAAAATAAGTAGTAATTAAATAAGTAGTCAAGTAGCTTTTAGCTAGTAAGCTATCAGCTTTCAGCACTGTATTTTGGCTCTACGTAACTACTTTCTTTCATTGCTGTTTTACATAGGTTGGGTTCTACAATGCTGTAGCCATTCCATGTTATACTACACTTGCACAGATCTTTCCTCCAACTGGGCCACTACTCCGAGCATGCAGGTGAGTAAATGGACAGAGTCTTGGGTAATGCGTGCTAGGTGGCCCTGCTTGAGCAGGCGGGTTGGACTAGATGATCTCCAGGGGTCCCTTCCGATCTCAACCATTCTGATTCTGTGAAGTGTATGGGTTTTTGCATAGCACATAGCTTGGTTAAGGAAAAGAAACCTGCTTCACAAGTCTGTCTGGAAATATAGACCTTTAATTTTAGAAATTGCATGTAGATAAACAGGTATACATCTCATTGTTAATCTATCGAGAAACCCAGAGGCAATAGCTACGGGCTGGGATTGTCCGACACAGCTCTCCAGACACATCTGATTAAGTTGTGTTTAATGCCAAAAGCATTTAGAGAGAAACAGGCACAGTTATTAGGTATTCCTACCTAGGCTAGTTCAGTGCAATTTCCCTTTGTATCCGTTTACCTCAATATTGTTCTCACAACTAAGATTGGCTAGAAAGCAAGAATTCTGTTCCATTAAAAATGCTGTGGTTTTGGCATGTGGTTTTATTTCATGTCAGAACATTTGTATTAAAAAGCAGAGAAAGAGCGAGCCCCCGTTTAGAATAGTCAGTAACTGGGCACACAAGAGTAGTACTACTAGGATATGTGCAAGACAGATTTAATTTTGTCTTTCCAATCACTAAGAGTTTAGCTTGGGATCTTCTGCGGGAGAGAAGTGTCCTTAACCAATTGGCTACTTCTGCGCTGGAATGATGGTGGAGCTGGAGCTCTTTCTAGGTAGCTCTGGCCAATAATTATATCCTGTAGCTTAGTGATCTTCCCTGGCAAAACATCTGTTGAAAACAGTAGGGTTCGGTAAAATGCTGGCAATCTTCAGTCATATCCAGGGAATAGTTAAGAGACCTGTTTTTCCATGCTCTTACTAAGTTCAATCTCTCTCTCTAAGATCTCTCTTTCTCTCCCTCCCTCCCTCCCCCCCTCCCCCTCTCTCTCTCTCTCTCTCTCTCTCTCTCTCTCTCTCTCTCTGTTGTGGCCCTAAATTTTGTCTTACACTGCGATTTTTCTTTATCTTGTATGGCAGCTCCACTTACTCTGTCACTTTCCTGACCTTTTGGGCTAAAGGATCTGTGTGAAATAGCAGAAGGATGTCCACTGTATACAAACATTGTGAAATTTTCAACTTCCTTTAGTTTCTGGATAGTACTGGGACAGACTTGTCCTCACACATAAAAACTCACAGTTCATCCCTACCTCCACCTTAATCTGTTCTCTTTTTCCTCCTGCCTAAACAAGAAAACATTCTGTCCCTCTCAGAATTTTTAAATTCTCAGAAATCCAGCGTGTCCTTGTCGTCTGCTCCTCTGCATATTGAGGTGAGGCCATCAATCACTTGATTGTTAATCCAGCAGCTAACCCTACTTCACTTTCACCAGGTGGCCTTATCTCTTAACATATTTTAGCATTTGGAGTAATTGCCACTTGAAGATCTTAAATCAAGGCTGAATATACAGCTATAAGAACTGTGATAGGTAAAAGAGATACGGGTTCAATGCATAGTTAGTGTGGTGAAATTCCCAATGCCAGTCTTTTTCCAGGCAGTCAGGCTAGATGATCCTTGCAGTAGTGTCTTTTGTTCTTAGAAGTTTTGAAAATAACAACTTTCGGTAAATAATGGGCAATAATTTATTATCCTAAATTACATAATATAGAAGTATTCATAAGGGCATATGTTAGTAGTTCCATCAGTTACAATACAGCATTAAACTCTTCTTTAGTTTTAAAATGCTGCAGAGTATTATCATAATGATATCAAAGTCCAAATCCTGTTTTGGAATTCAGAGTTATAGTACTGGGTAGGAATGTGTACTCCCTTGAGCAATGCTGACTTAATATATACTTGTTGATAGTTTGATCATAAGTATTTGAATAATGTGTACTCTGACAAATAAAGAAGAGTTGCTTTCAGTGCAAATTCAGAGAACATGAAGTAAACTCTAGAACTATGTGTAAACCTTTTGATCTTTACAAGGCCAGGAGTCATACAACTGCTTAGCGGAGAGGTAGTCTGAGATCTTGAAAGTTCTCTAACTGCTGTATTTGTAATTCTTGCTTGAAGGCGTGGTGCTGGATGGTTTATCAGGTGTAGTGATGGCTGAAAGCGAAATGTTGGTTATTTGGTCCATGTAACTGGAACACAGGTTGTGCGTTGCCTAACCACGTTTTCATTCAGAAAGAGTTTCATGCTATTTATATAGACTATAACATCATCTGTAATACCAAGCATTAGAAGTGCAGTAATGTTCATCATGAGTGTTTCCAGTTGCTTGTTTCTATGTAAGCTAATGAATTTTATCAAAAAACTTTAAGTATGTGACAATTCTGAATCTTTTCGTATTAAGTATTTGTCAACATCTGGATGCAGTTTTGTTCCCAAAATTGGTATCTGTATGATTTTAATATGAAAATGTCTTGCAGAGTCAGTATGATTAGTGATCTCATTGTGTATGTCAGGAAAGTGGTATTACTAGTACCATCAAATGAGAGGTCTTAAAAATGGTTTTGCACTTAACTTTAGAAGTGTTTGCATAAGCGTGCCAGTATCTTTGGTAGGAAGTTTAGCATCGTTATTCCCCTTAACGGGGACTGAGGCTTGGAGAGGCTGGGCTGAGTGCTTAAGGCTGCATAACATCTCTTTCAGGAGTAGGGTTCTGGGAAGTCCTGTATCTTTTGATTTCTAGCCACCTATCCAAATGAGGCTTATTTCAAAAGTAGCTTGTAATACTTGATGTCCCATTTTTCAGTACTCAACTAAGGAGATTGAAAGTTGATTTGTAGGGAACTGAGCACCCACATACATGCACACTCTTGATGGAGGGTGCATCATAATTCTGACGAGCAAGCACAAGCATCTTTTCAAGAGGGGCTTTCTCTGCAAAGGGTGGGATGTCTGAAGTAATATCAGTCAGGCTCCTACCAAAGATCATATGAGTGTTTTCTGTTCTGTGAATTATGGTTAGTGTTTGGAATTGCAGATATTATACTTCTGAAAGCTGCACCAGCATAATCTCCAAACTAGGCACAACTCTGTACATCTCCCTACCCTGCTCTTCTGCGTCGTTGCAATCTAAATTTAGGGAATGCGCAACTGGTGCATGCATGTGTGAATGGAAGTTTAAGATCTCCATAACTCTGAAGAGCTTCCTGAAAAACTATACCCTCATGAAAGGTCCTCTGATGTGCAGTTTGATAGTTTCAGAGCTTAGCAGCTCTACCTTGAAATTACCCTTTGCAGACTCACCTGAAACTGTCTGTTAGACCAAGTTGAGGAGGAAGCGTTGCGAGATGTGTTCAGATTTGGAGATGCTGACTACAGAACACAGATCTAACTTCAACTCCCTAATTATCAAAATATGCATGTTTTTGCAGGGTTTGAGTTACTCCAGAGTGTTTTAAATGGTTGAGCTACATGGGTTTTTTGAGCGGTAAATGGTGTTCAATGTGATGAGAGGCATGAAGCCTCATTCTTACTCAGTATTGGCTCAACTGTTGACTGAACTGATTTTGATATCACCCCCTACACCAGTAGTGCTCGTTCTTGGAACGCAGTGTTTAAGCTGCTGTGTCCTTGAGCTGTTTGGAACACAGACACCAGCTGCAAATAATAGCAACAGAAGCAGCCAAGGCAGCATGTCAGCATCAAGTCTTTTATTTTGAGAACTTCTGGATATTTCTTCCAGTCAGTTAGGAGCCAGGGCCTCTTTGGGAGCACAAAGGCAAATGAATCATATGATCTGCACCTTAAAGAAAAGGTGAAGAGTATCAGTCACTAATTTCCCTGAAGTAAGGTAGTAATTTATTCCACATTTTTAAATGCTCTCTTACCTACAATGTGTTTATTTTCTTATTGAGAAAATCTTTCAATATGTTACATATTCTCTGTAGACCAAAACTACCATCCACCTGTGCAATAGTGTCTAGGATAAGTTCGATGGGTGTTTTGTAGCCTGCTTACTCAGGAGGCATGCCAAAGTGGCAGATCTGTTCTGAGAGTAAAAAAAATCTTTTTTTTTCTTTTAGTTCAGACCAAATATTCTTAAACAATTTTCCGTGTACTTTCAGGTCTCTGAATTCTTGCTGAAATGGATACAATTTAAGAATATTTTGGCTGCGTTTCTCCTGTTATTTTCCCAGTTTCTGGAAAGGGACCTAGAAATAGTAACAGTTCATTTTTTCTCATCCTCTGTGCCTGGTTGTACTAGCTGAGATTCAGCACCATGTTAACTCTGGCTACATGACTCTAGTTGGCCCTGAGCACTGCCAGAACAAGTTTCTATCTGCCTTCAAAAAACGATGTAGATGTTCCCCTAGAGGGCACCAGCTTCCTTTGGTAGACTCCATCAAATCCATCCTTACCCCATCCCTAGAAATTGCAACGTTTTCTCGTCTTACCTGTTTTCTGTGCTTCCAGCTCATTTATTTGCTGGTTTTATCAACTGTTTCAGCAAAGCTGTGACACACAAATCAGGGGAGCTCTGCCACATAAATTCAGATGTAATGCGACACATAGCATGTAAGACCATAGTAGTTTTACCATCTGTTTTGTTTTAAGACATCTAAGAATCATTGTGTTAGTGACTAGGTATTTGATTGTATGAAGTTAACTGTTGAGCTTGCTTGCTTTCTCTCTGTGTTTGAAAACTGAATGCTAGATTTGGGCCATATGTTGTTGTATGGCCCTCAACTGGATATCATCAACATAGATGTCCAAGTCACTGGAGGGATATGAGTATACACCAAGTCAGATTATGGGTCTGTATTCCCTTCATTCAAATCATTATAATGTTACCAGCTTAATATCTCAACATTTTCTGATTTATGAACCAAAATTTGGACTTGAGTGTTGACCAGACTGAGAGACAATGAAAAAATTTTATATTCAGGAAGAGATAATCTTTTGCTGTAGTAGACTGATCACCACATGAGTTGATGCTATGATGTTGGCATGCAGCATTTTATTTATATTTTATATGTCAGGCAGCCCATGTGCAGAAGTTTCAGGAGGATTTACGCACTTCTGTGGTTTCCAGTGAAGGAAGTTTCCTGCAAAAGTACTGGTCTCTGTGGTGATTTTGTAAAGGGCCAAATAACGCTATTGTAAAATCCTTGATATCCTAAGTGAGGAAGGCTGCTTCTCTCCAGACTGCTGTTTCATATTCTCTGCAGACGTGGCTCTTGGGTCATGATAGGGTTTTCTCTGCAACCATGAGGGCTAGAAATATTTTAAATGGAAGCAGGTTCTAGACTCTTGCTCCAGCAGTGGCTAATTCTGAGACATGTGCCATATGCCATAGGCATATGCCATATGCGCATATACCATAGGCTTATTTATATATAGCCAGCATGTGTACTAGCCAACAAGAATTACAAAATGTGTCAACTGCAAGGTAAAAGATGAAATAATACAATGAGAATAAAAACTTGACTGCATACCCAGTGTTTATATACAGCATAAAGCTACATCTCTAGAAGTCTAATACAGCAGACAATATTATTAGAAGCGGTCTCAGTAAACTTATGAATAGTGCTTTATCTCTTGACTCTTTTGCATCACCAGGGACAATCTCAGCCAATGGGAGAAGGTGACAAGAGGAGAAGAGGCCTCTATATGGATTTCCTCACAGTCCCTTGCTCCCGGGACCTCCGATTCACTTCCTGTGAAGATTGATGACTGAACAGCAGCAACAGTTTGTTTTAACCCTAAAAGCATCCCTTCTTTGTTTTGGGGGTTGTTTAGTTTTGTTCCGTTTTATTTTTATTTGAAGAAGGAAAAAGAAGAGCTACAAATGCTAACTAGGAAGCAGATCTGCCTAGGAAGGTAACACCCATGGGGTTACCTCAGCTAATGACTCTGGCAGCCAATCTCCTGACCTAACCAGTGACACAACATGAACAGAGGGAAAATGACAACCCGGATGGTTTGGAATCAGCTAGCGAAAGAGAACTTCTGACTTGTGAATATGAAGGACTGGCCTTCTCTCATGGGCTACAATGCTGAGGCCTTAATTTAAAACTGATGGGGGGAAAAAATCTTAGAGGGTACTTCTAAATTGTATCTTTCTAGTAAGGGTTTCAATGGTACTTTTATTATACTGTACTGTGGCTGGCTTTAACACCAGTGTCACTTGGGAGTTCTTGGCTATAAATAGAACAATATACCCATTGCTGTTGTGAATGTTTGTGTGATCTACTTGTAATCAGTTTGAACTCTAGCAGAATCCCTGGAAACTATAATTCTTGTTTGGATTACAGCGAATTCTCTTGCTGTAAACTAAAGGAAAACCAATATTCAAGTTCTTCATTAAGCTCCATGGTGCGAATTGTCACTTGCAAGATAAATGTTGAAAGAACTAGTTATGGGGCTTTGTTCTTCAGAACTATTTAGAAACCCAGACAACTCTTCCCTTTGAACACTGAAAGTGCTGGATATTTATCTCCGATAAGGAGAGATGTAGGCATAGTTTCAGGTTGGAGTTTTTGTATCCATAGTGGCAGAAGTATCGGACTAAAATTTGAATGTGACAGCAAAGATTTCCTTGCCTAGCTCACCAGTAAGTAAAGTCATTGTGCTTATTTCTACCTGCTGAGTTGTATTTTAAAAGGTATTAAGAGACATACATAAAGTATGTTATCTGCTGGGAACAGGAGCCGTGTCAGAAAAGTTAGGTCTAATAAGAGGGACTCTGGAACTATCACAATAAATCAAAAATGTTTTTGCGCTGACTAGCTTTTGTGTTGCACAGTAACACTGCATGCCTTCTACTGCTCTTCTCCTCATCCCGAAACAAGTAAAATTAAAGAACTTCTCCCTTTTTCCTTTTGTTTTTTTTCCCCATATTTGAGAAAAATGTTCAGACTTAGAACTATCTTTTTCAATGAAAGAATAACTGACTAAGAGAAAAAAGTACTCTAAAATACTGTGTTTACAGTTCTGTGCTGGCTTAGCCATCAGTCTTACAAATTTACGCACAGAATTTAAGACCTTACATTTAATGCCACTCTTTTGACTTTAGTGCAATTGTACAGAGTACGTTTCAACAACACTTAATTTGCCTTTCTCTAAAAATACTGAAAAAAAATTCATACTGATCTGAACAATAGTTGAAAACACACTGTCTTTGCATAACTTTTCACATACCGCCTATACTGCATTATATACTTTTTCACAGATAGTAGCCTTAGTGGTTCCGTGATAACATGGCCATTTGTGTAACTGCAACCAATAATAGTGGTGACTTAAAGACAGAATCCAGGTTCTATTTTTCCATGTCACATCTTGTTCAGCTGTATTGCTCTAATAAGCATACCATCTTGTGGTTTCATTTAAATGACTTGAACTCTTGAGTTTTGCCTTCTGTTATGGTCGAGCACATACCAATATCTGTTTGTACATATGTACAGTATGTGATATATAATCACATAATGTATAAATGCACCTAAGCCTTTGCAATACATAGAATCTCAAAGGTTGAGAGTTCAATATTAAGTTACCTTATTTGTGTCGTACAGCTTACCCAACAGCAGCCCCACAATTCTTTTCAGTTTGCTTTGCTACTTCTAAGTGCAGAAATTCATCGTTAGCCATAATAAGCTATTTTGGAATGAAAAAAATTATAAGAAAACAATTACACCAAAGTAGGTGGAACAGTATCTCATCCTGTGTCCTCTGCTTTGCTCCTGAGCAGGTCGGATTTAGTTCAGGTGCAACCTTTCAGCTGCAAACTATTTAAGACACAGTCCATAGTGTCCTCCGTGTACTTGGAAAGTATCCAAATCTATGGTGACTACAAAAATATGCTTTGGAATTCAGATACCAACAGAAAACTTTTCCTTCATGGTTTGAGTATATTTGTTGTTATTCTCCATCCTCCTAGAATACTGATCTTACCAGGGTTGCAAAAATATTTCTTGTTACGCTGTATCTGTGTTATGGAAAATGTTTAATTAATCCTTTAGTCATTGACAGTTCTGATAAGTACTAACACAGAACAGATTTCCCTAACCCTTACCAAATTGTCAATAAGATGTTCTGTTAATTTCTGAAGACAATCAGGTATTGTTCCTGATACAGAACTATCCCAACCATTTAAAATGTATAGTTGCTATAGTATGGTGTCCATTAGAAGTAAAAACTGAAGTTCCAGTGATTGAGTTTGGTTTGTTTTTCTGGTGTATAAAAGGAGAAAAGTCATAATAAAAAGTTACTACCTTTTAGTTGCCAGCTAAACCAACAAAAATAGCCATAACAGGCTATATTTTTTAAGTAAATTCAGTCTGTCTTGCCACTTACAGAGTGATAAGACACTGTAAATTTTTTGGCAGAAACAAACTTAAATGAGCACTTCCATAGTCGAAACCACCAAACATTAAAACTTTGAAGCCACATTTGAATTTCATGACTCAAGATATGCTGAGATTTAATTGTCCAGAGTTCTGGACTTGTACTCACCAAGTAGAGCAGTAAGACATCTGGCTTATCAAGTTACACTGCCAAATGCTATTCCTCCTTTTGTTTTTATCCTGCTAAAATTGATGTTGCAGAGAATGCATAAGAATGCATAAAAAAACCTAACAGACCTTTTTTTCCTTGAAGAACTAGACTTTAGACTTTAGACTTCTAGGACAACATTATTTTTATTGGAATTCCAATTGCTTTTCCCTTCTAAGCCCAGTAAAGAAAAAAGCCATTTGAAGCCATATCTGAGAGTTTCTAATGTATTATGAAACAATATCTGAAAGATATGCATTGAGAAAAATAGGTGACATAGCCTCTGAGATGTTGCATATGTTATAGTAGCACTGACAGAAGCTCCATTGTTCACTATGAATTCTTTAAGGTAGTACAACATTCTTCTGTAATGATTCCACTTGTGGCAGTACTATTTTTATAAATCATCAGTTAATTATTTCATTAGAGAAATGCAATAGTTTTTTTTAAGGTTTTTTAGTGGGAGTGTATGCTAAAACATATTTACATTGGAGGGGACATGCAGTGTGAAATTTATCTTTTTGTGTGGCACAGACTTCTTTCAAAATGTGTTTAAACTTAGGGCAATGTGATCAATTGCTTTACATTTAGACCACTTAGTGTTAAAATTATAGGGATAGCATATAGCACTATTCATGTTAAAGAAAAAAATGCAGAGGTTGTTAGACACTCAAAATAATTTTGACCCGCTTGAAATAATGCATTTGCCTAAAACACTGTGATATATTAACAGTTCTGTGAAGTGGTACAACCCTTGTCATCTAAACAGAGGAAGTGACTTTCTGCACACTATTGCAATGAAGTTCATGTTCAAACTTTAGGTTATATATCCCAATCTAGCAAAGGCACATCACAGCTATTCTATTCTGCTTTCTGACCAAAAACTGTGCTCGATTGTAATACGGGTGTATACTCTGTCAAAAAACCTAAAATAGTGGACTGCTTTCTAGAGTAGATCAAACTGATTTGTGGAGTAGATTCATATATATTCCAAATTCAGGTTGGGCTGTTATGTGAAGAAGAAAGAACTTCAAGGTAACAACATTCAACTTTACTACATTTAGTGAGCTGAAAAACTTGTTTTATATATATATATATATTTACATATATACATACTCATGCGATCAGAGCACCTTCTCGGTTTTCTCTGGTTTCGCCATTTCTAAAAATACTGTACATGGTGTGTAATTTTTTTCATGTATTCATTTGCAGTCTTTGTATTTAAAAAACAAACCTAAACCTTTACTATTACGTTTGTACAATAGAACAGTAAGCATTTATTATGAAATAGTTAAGTTGTAAATAAATTCACAAACCAAACAGCCAGTACATATGCATATATGGGTGTCCTATTGTGAAACCTGTTTTTGCTTTTACTGCTGGCTTAAGCACAGCAAGACTACTTCTGTGGATATGTAATTATACATATAAATATATGTATGATACATAAAATATATTTAGAAATGTTCATAATTTTAATGGATATATATACATATACTTTGGTGTGAATATTACTGAATACAGAGTTTTTTTAATATTATTTTTCATGTTTATTTTTGCTGTTATTGGGCGTGAAAGTGAGGGATGGGAAATTAGTGTGTATGTATGTGTGCGCGTATGTGTTTGTATACCACAAGTAAACCACAGGAGAATGGAATCAAAATGTAATGGAGTCCTTTAAAAAGGTGGTGCCTGTTTTTCTCTGTAATTGCAGTTTACCACTTATGGTGCATTTTCCCAACATAAATTCTTTTTGTCTGTCTGTCTGTGTGTCTTTCTGTCCGTCTGACTTTGTCTGTCTCTCTGTCTGCTGTCTTCTTTTTTTAACAATGTATTTTATCATCTGTAGCAAGTTCACTTGTCATGAATTCCGAACGGATCCACTTTCCCATTTGCCCTCCTGCTATCGGAGTCCTTACCTTTTTGGTGACAAATACTTTCACACAGATCCCTGCTTTACCACTGCCAAACTGGCATGTAGCTAATGTAGGATCAGTTTGTTACCTTTTGAGAATTACTGAGCAGCATACTCAGATGCTGTACTGTACAAAAATAATCCTGCACTGATTTTTTTTTTTTTTTAACTTTTTCCACTCCAAAGGGATATAGGGCTATGACTGTTGCCAATACCCTGAAAATACAAGCTAGGTTTAGATATCTGTAAAGCAAACTTCTGAACAACTAGCAGATATTTGTAAAACAGGTGAAAAAAAAAATGAAAGAAAAACCCCTAGCACATAGGTTTGCTCCAAAGATCCCTTGCACCCTGCAAGCTCAGGAAACAGATTATTTGCTCTTTATAGCCCTCATGGTCTTCAGTGGCCCTGTGTCTTTATGGCCCTGCATGACTTGCCATTTTCAGCTGAGGCTGTGGAGCTGGGGAGCCGGGGCTGAACCCTGGCTAGGGCTGGCCTTGGCTCATGGCATTCCTAGCCCCCTACTTGTGCAAGGAACTTGGAGCACCACTAACACAGCTTGGCCATAAAGATGCTTCCAGGGCAACCCTTGAGCAAGATTTGTTAACTACTGCCTGCGATAGTCAAAAAAAGGTTTTACGAAGCGTTCCTGGTGTTGTGCTATTGTGGCCCACACTTCCGTGAAGCTCCAGTTGCTGCAATGCATCCGTTGTGTACTGCTAATGCAGACTTTCGGGATGAAACTGCAACTGCATTGAGATTTAATGCATTTGTTGGACAGGAATTATTCATTTTAGTTAAAGCTTCCCAAACGCTTTTGAGGGAGGAAAATACAAGAGGTGTGTTTTTATGAGTGCTATTAATTTGGTCCTTTCTACCTGTTAATATATTGTTGGTAAGAAACTGTAGTCTGAAGTTAATTAATGAGCAAATAATGAATTACTTTTTGGTGAGGCTTCTCAAATTGATGGCAGTAGCCTGCATGTCTTCTCATATTTTTCTGCTTGTCATGCAGCCATAGCTCTTGTAGCAGGGCATGATGTTTTGCCGTTGATGGTCACCCTCCAGTCAATATGCTTTTCTTTAATATTTTTATCCCTTTGTTACTGAAAAACATCACTAGGAACTTAAAAAAGCAGCTCCATAATGTATATTCCCTTGTAGATATTTGAAAATACAAATATCAGAGCGCCTTAATTTCTGCTGCTTTCAATGAACTTTGAATCCAAGCACTTTTTAAGATCCTGTGCTCATCTGAGTTGATTGTAACCAGCCTTTGACTTCAGTGGATTTCACCTGCTCAACCAGTGTTGGAAATTACTTCACTGTATTTGCTTTGTTGAAGACCAATTACCAGAGCCAATTTCCTCTTCCTCGATTTAGTCCCTCTTCCTCAGATTAGAGATAAAGATTTTTTCAATATGTTTCAGTTCATACAGTTCTTGCAAAAACTGCCTGTATCTTGAATGTTGCTTTACAAAGGTGAAGATCTTTGTAGGTCAGGAAGGAGTTACAGATACATGTTTCAGAAGGTACTTGGCACGTGCACAAGATCTGTTGGGTAAAAGTCTTCTAAGAGAAAGGGAAAACATGAGACTCAGGAGCATGCATCTAATTGAATGGCATCTTTGAAAAGAATAAATTATACCAGGTAAAATTTTCCTTTCATGTTTTTTGGTTTGTAATATTACTAGAAGGGCTGAATGATTTTCACTGTGTGGTTTGTTAAGCAGCTGGCCTTAATTATTTTTTCCTTTTTTACAGCAATGTAAACCCTGTGAATGTAGGGGAGAATGATGTTTGTAGAGCTACTTCTGTTTTTTGTGCTGTTTCTGTGCTGTTTATAGAAGCAACGTAAGTTGTTAATAAACAATATTTTGAAAGTGTATAGAAATGGAAAAGAGATCTTATAAAATCCATACTGTTGAAACCACAACGTTAAACTTTCAGATGCACCTAAAAGAGTCCATGTCTGTCAGGAGCCCTGGAAATATTACCATCACTGTTGGTAATAGTGGTGAACGTGGTTCAGCATTGAATACAGGCAGTCTAGAACTAATGCAAGCTGACTGGCTCATCATAATGGAAATGAAGAGAAAGCTAAGTATGCTGATTTTAGTTTCTAAGTAGTGAAGTCCAAGTTGCTTTCTGCTGCTGACTTGTAGAGAGAAAGCACATGTCTGATACTGGGTATATTTTAAACCTTGCAACAAAATACCACCTGGCTGAAAAAAATTTAGTTTCCCATATGACTAGCCTAGGAAAGAGGCCGGTGACATGTTATGCATGAAAGATATTTGACATGAAAACATACAGAAAGCTTGCAGAGAAGACTATTTGCAGTACATTTGGAAAGATGAGGGACATCAGTTAAGATTCTGTTTATGGACTGAAGGAACTGAGTTGAACTCTCTGCTCCATGACAGTTTTCTATTATGACCTCAGGCAAGTTGCCCAGCACTGATGGTTTTGTTCTTTCTTATGTTATTTAGGTACCTAAACTTTTTTCAATTCTATGTATGTTTGCAAATATCCCTGGTTATCCAGGCTTCAAAATATTTGTAGACGCAAAACGGTGATCACCTTATAGAGCAGATGATATTTCCTTCCCTCCCAGGTGAGAAGAAACACGACATAGGTGTGATACACTCAGATGCGCTGCTGATAAGCACTGTAGATAAGTACCCCCTTTTCTGTCTTCCCCGGACACAAAGTGAGGCTTTAGAAATTTCAGTGCATACTTTCAAGCTGGCATATGTTGTTTCATATTTAATGAAAACTTTTCAGCTGTTGCGATGGCCTGTCATCCATAAAATTTCAGACTCCATTAATTAAACATGGTGTTGAATTGTCTTGTAAGCCAATACTGACTTCTATGCAAGGGCCAATGACAAATGTTTTCGCATACTGCATCCCTAGTGCCTATTCCATAGCTATTTGTATGGTCCTATGCCGGGGCCCCCGGGAGTGGTGTGATTAATTCACCTGTGCCCTCAACTCTGAACCATCTGCATCTGCTCTAGCTGTTGGTTAACATCCTGTTTTGGGGCTCAGTTGCTATCCAGGGAATTGGGCCTGTCTGTTACACAGTTTTTCCTGGTTTTCATTGTGAGCTACCAAATACGTTAAGACATGATATAGCTTAATGCAGAGCTTCGTGTGCAATATATTGACTTCCTTTCAAAGTTTCTTAAATAGGCACAGCCCTAGGAAATACTTTAGATGCTCTAGAATCACAAGCATGGTAGAACTCAAGCAATTCCAAGCAAGAAACATCTTTTTTTTTTCATGTGGTGTGTTAGAATGTGTGTAAAATAACACATAAAATAAGCAAACCTCAGAAAGGGCTTCCATGTGACTGGGGACTTGGAACAAATCCAGAATATCTCCTAATATAGTTTTGCCTCCTGAATGTACCAGGACAGCAGCCTTCATTGACTTGGTTCTAAACTTTTGCGGTGCCAAAAGATCAGAGGGAGCTCTCTGAGTGTTTACAGGTAGTTGCAAATCTAGCTGGTGAGGTAGCAGTGAAAGCCTCTTTCTGTGCTACACGGCAAGGCGTGTGAACCCCAAGACCACCAATTTCAGAAAAGCAAAGCAAAGTGCTGTTCTGACAACTTAAAAGAAAACTTTCTGCTTTATACAGGAAAAATAACATCCTGTGAAAGACTTAAATGGCTGCTGTCTGAAACCTTCCAGATCAATTCCTTGAAATCATTAAAGCAGAATTTGTCTGTAAGATTGGCAGGTTCCTCGTTTGCTCCCTGTTTCCTTACTGCTCTTCAGTTGTACGTATTTGCTTTCCTTGTGGAGCATTTTCTTTTTATTTTACATCTGAGGACTCCATGAGTAAAACAGACTGCCATCTCTACAGCCGCCTCTAATCTCTGTACTTCCATGGCGTGAATTAATTCCCAGTGATGAGACACAAAGTTATTGTAAAAATAACTGTCTTGAGATTAAAGGTGTAAAACTACACTTCAGGGATCTATTTCCAAGGTTTATATAAAGCACTGAGAGCAGGGTGCATACCAAGCACCAAGTTAATGGGCTAGAATCAGGGAAAGGGACCCTACTGCACTCAGGGTAAGCACATTAGGGTAAGGTGAGGGTAGAAATAAATGGAAAAACTGCTCTCTATATAGTGAAAGCTTCTTTCATTCATAAAGTAGCCTAAAATCAGGAGGCTGAATTGAAGTCCTGGCTCCCCAGTCTTATCGCACGGTCAGTTTTGCCCTGGATTGCATAAAGGCCTTGCATAGAATCACGCTCTGCATTGTAGCAGGGTCATGTAACACTCGCCATGCGGAGGAAATTTTCGAAGTGCTGTGGGCAATATCTCTACACAAAGGTGCTCTATGTATAGATGAAATAAATCTGGTTGGTGATCCTGGTGATTTTCATTCGGAGCTGAATCTATATTATAGACCCGATTAAGAAGTTACAAAAAAAGACTTCAGAGTGAAACAAGAGGCTTTTTCATTTGAAAGATCTGTTATCAGTTTCCTAAAATTAGTTGATCCTGCATAGCCTACATCACAGATGATGCCACTTCCTGAGCTTCGTGCCCATCTTACTTCTTTTGCTCAATAGCTTATAGTGGCAGTAAAACAGAACAGAATTTGCACAGGTTTTCTTGAGCATCCATTTCTGTTTGATAGTAACCTTAGTGTGGCAAAACACTTTTGATATCCCGCAGCAGTAGGTCACTGATACAGAATATTATCACCACCCTCACCACGCTAAATAGTGATGCTACAGGAAATGCCACCGTAGAAATGCATGAGGTAGACAAGAAATACCTCTTCGTAACCTTTTAACTGGAACATGAATCAAGAAAGGATACTCATCTTCTTTTTAGTCAGTCCATATCAACCATACCTCCACGGGAAGACTGGAACAGAACATTATTGCTCTTGCAGTAGAGGGAAGATTTTTGTTTTAACGACTGGTCACGGTGACAGTTTTATTGTGCTTTAGCAACAACTGTGCAATTTTAAACAAGCGATGCCTGTGGCAGAGGATGGCATATCTTAATGTTTATGCTGCCCCAGTCAAGGATAATGAGGTTGATAGAGCCTGGAAGTGTCTGTTTTATGATCTTTAGAGGATAGGTGGCTATAGCCCAGTTTCTCATGGGTGCTTCTCTGCTTCCATAAGTGAAATAACTGCCATGCTGCCCTGAACTGAACTGAGGAGGAGGATACTGGTCAGCACAGAGAGAGAGAGGGCAGGCAGGGGCAAACTGACTTCTCTTCCTCTCTAGAGCCTTTTTCATGAAGTTATCCCAGAGATACGCTGGTTGAGAAAGGCAGTTTCCTAGCGTTACTTTCACCCTGAGGGGGGAAAAAGAAAAGAAACAGGCCATGGCACATTCTACAGTAAGATTAGAGGCCATATTCTATGCTGTTTAATTCAATACGTTGCCCTGAAGGGTTGGTTCAAATCTTTCACACAATTTTTCATGTGTATGTTCATAGAAAGCATGCATCTTTAAAACTCACAGTTATCCCATAGCCTGTATGGTTCTCCAGACATATCCCTACATTGCATTCAGAGTCTGTTTCAAACAGACACAAGTGGCCTCAGGGAAAAATACAGCGTACTATAATTTCTCCATTCCAATAAATGTTAACGAGGAAGTGCTTGTGAAAAACCCCGTTAAAAACAGTGATATATATATTTTTAATTTATTTACCCTGAGGACAGTTACATTTGATTTGACAATCAACCACCTGGTTATTATTTTCCAAGGTTGTGTTGACTTTGAATAGCCAATACGATTATAGGAAATAATGCAATCTCAACACTTACGGTAACAACAAGCGGGGAACATGCAGAAACAAAAACATAATAAGAAAACTAAGAAAAAATAAACTAAAAAAATCCCCGTTTTTAAAATGGTGAGATGTTTTAAAATGCTGAGGGTTATAGCTTTCTCAACCAGTTTTAGCATGTGGCAGATCCCTAGCTTGTTGGAGGTGGGGTTTTGGCAGGGAGGGGAAACTTCTAGAAAGTAGCAATCACTTTTCTCATGTAGTCATGCATGCTGATGTGGTGCTGTACCTCATTTAGCACTGGCTATTTAGAGTGATTCAATCCTTCCCTTGCTTTTATAATCCAGAAAATGTCTGTATATCGCTGTCATTGAGTTAGTAGGATCAGAGGGTGCTCAGTGTGACTGGAGAGAGTCCTCTGTACTTGAGAAGGAAGGGGTCAGCACCGCTTTTCAGGCAATCTCTGCCAGTCACCAAAATAATAAACATTAGATGCAGGCGTAACCTCCTTGTGCAGAAAAGAATTTGGGGCAGTGGTCCATGCTGTTGCTCACAGCAATATTAACTGGTGCCATCCACAGGGGCAGAGTTGACTGAAATCCTACTCAGGGGATCTGACCTGGCCCAGATCTTGTGGGATCAGTGAAGAACAGCCAGTACTCCCAAAGAGGTCATTCTCAGAGCCATGCGGGTAATGGAGCTGGGGCTCCTATGGATTTGCCCTAGTATTTTGGGGTTAAAAAAGTTATGTAAGGTTTTTCTGCTATAGTTATGTATACCTTTGAAATTCTCCTCCGTTTCCCGTTACAATCCATCTCTTGCAGCATTGTGGCTGTGATACACAGACTGCCATATTCTGTAGAAACTGACCAGCACAATAAGATATTATGGGCTGGACCCCCATCCTCTATCTAAGCAGCCACTAATTTTATACAATATGGAACGTCAGTATTTTTGAGATTGTTTCCGTCTGCTGAGTTTGGATGAAATCAGCCAATAAATTCAAAAGCTTTATGGGAGGAGAACAAGGGCACCAGGAAGTGATAGAGAGAGGTCTGAGCTTGGCATTGCTGGAAAACCACCTAGGAGATCAGACTGTACTCTTCAGTTTAAACTCTGGCTTTACAACTATGGAAAAAGAATCAGATGTATTATTTCAGTCACACACACCTTATGTACATCAGCAAATTTTTTTTTTTGGCATTCCTAATAAATGAAGTAAACAGTGTAACTTGCTTGCAGTATCTCAGAACAAGTCTTAGTTTTTCTGTTAGAGATGCAGTATGTAAGAGATACTTTACTGCTATCTGTAGGAGGGAAAAATGCTTCCTAGCAGATGATGTCTGCGTTTCGGGACTGGGCTGCAATACTGTGTCCATGCTGGGATAAAAGCATGGTTATGAAACTGGGAAGAGACAAACAGCTGAGTTAACGTATTTAAAAAAATTCTCTTGATTTTGACTTGTTATGGACTTCTGGTTTTGTTTAAGGACCAAAGGTTAGAAATTCTCTTAAATCTAAACCTGAAGTCTGTGGATGTTAACATCAGCCTTCCCAGTGGTATCGATGAGTCTGAACTGTGTGACTGGTGAATAGCTGGACTGCGATGCTGTCCCCAGATCTTGTAAATGCTTGCTGATGCATGGGCCCTATGTGAGGGCTGTGTTTGACCCTTCATATAAAGCCCTGCATAGCAGACTGGCGGGAATCTTCCCAGCCCTGTGGTAAGCCTCTGTTGGCCTCCTGCTGCTCCCCTGCTACAGCCTGCAGCCCCGTCCCAGTCCCAGTCCACCCAAAAATGGGGTCCGGATCTGTTTCTGTGGAGGCTTTCCACAAAGAGATGTTGCTGACTCCTTTTGTAAGGACCAGACTTGGAGAGGAGTTTGGAACAGGCACAAATGCCTAAATCACCGTCAACCCCCAAAGTACAATGTGCCATTAGCCTCTGAAAATAGCAGCCTAATTAGTGATGGCTAATAGTGACCTCTGAAGACCCAGCCTGGTAACCTAGACCCTGTTGGCCCTCATGCCCCAGCTTTTGAAGTTGCCTTTGACACAGGTATGTCGCTGCGCCTATCTGCGCCGGTACACAGGGGTTGTGCATGTCTGGCTCAACATGGCATCCGGCATGTCTGGCCTGGTCCTGCCTCTTCCTTACGCTGCTCCTGCAAGGAGCCGCAATGGGCCTGTGCAGCCTTTGCTGAGCTGCTCTGTTGATCTGAGCACAACTTTCCTCCTCCTGCAGTAGTCAGTTACTCAGACTAGGCTTGGGCTCTCCCCCTTGACTTGCAGAATGATACAACCAGACCCCTCACATGGGCTCCCTGTCCCCTGGTTAATTGCTTCCTTTTATGTAATAACTATGATATTATAGTAGCTGGAACACTCGGCTGTAATGAAACATGTAACACTCAGCCACCAGATACTCGCATTTGAGGGCATTTGAGGGGAAAGATAATATCCATAAAACTTGTAGTGGTAGATCTCATTTCTTGGCAACCTTTTCTGTTGCTTGGTGCGAACAAAAGTCCCACTGTCGTACCAACAGGAATGGAAAGAATGCTTCAGCTTCTTTCCCTCTTACACAAACAGAGTTTGAGTAGCAGGAGCAATAGCTCAGAGGTAAGAGAGGTTTTGCAGCTTGGTGCCTACATATATCACTAGTAACAAAGCAATATTGACTTAGCTAGGTTTGTGGTCACTGTGCATAGGAATGCCAGCTGGAAATAAGCACTGCTGGGCACAGATGGGAGGTTTCACATTTATTCTAAAACATAATGGGATCCAACTGCTGTGTATGTGACTCGTGTGTGTAAAACAGAGATTTTTTTAAAAGTGGACTTGGGCTACAGTGTGCCAATAGCCAGAACGGCTATTGGCACTAAGGACTACCTGTTGAGTCAGGTGGAGATGGTGACCAGTGCTGTGTTTGATTTTTCCTGAAGTGCCTGTCATCTAGTTTGCCAGGAATCAGACATGCAGAAATTGAAATAAACTGTAAGAAGCCCTCAGAGCAGTATGATATTGCTCAGGCTTCTGGATAAATGGTCTTCATTATGTATATGATTAACATAAGGCATCAAGACTCTTTGTAGTTCTTTCTTCCTGCCTGTACTGGGGACAAAGTATGGGATTTTTCAAGCTAATAACTGTGTGGTGGGACAAGAGAGTCTTGTATGTGATTCTAAAGGCTGTCAGCTATGTGGCTGTTGTTATCTGTCAGGGAAAAGCTACCTATCTTGCACCCTCTCTCTCATGTACTCTCATTACATCACCAGCTAGTCTAAATTTTGATTCAATGGCTTTGTGTAAGTTCAAAACATTTGACATTCATGGATGCTGTTTGGCTGTGGTTTTGCTAGCTATTGTGTTCTTAAGTTTTTTTTTTTTTGTCATATGTTTTCCTTCACATCTTCCACTAGTCATTTACTGTTTGGTTTTACCACTCTTTGATTCAGGTGCACAGACTATGAATCTTAGTACAGCTTCACCTGTGGCGGGTTTCCTATGTGATAGATCCGTCTGGTACACAGTCTACCTCATATCAGCTCAAATACCCAGAGAGGCCAGTGCCCTTTTTGCTTTGACTTCATTCTGGTTCTTAGTCTCTCACAAGATACTTGTGTGACTGTGGGAGGGTATGGGAATTCAGCTCTTCGGGATTAGGTGTGGTTTTGGTTCTCTGCCTCCCAGCTATCCAAAAGCTCAGCTCAACCCAAAGCTAAAAACCTTCAGTCACTGAATGCTGACAGCAAAGTGAAGCAGGAAGCCCTCTTTCCTTAAATGTTGAATTGTATTTGATATGTGATGAAAAGGTGTAGTGCTCTGTGGATAAAAGACAACACCTCAGACAAGAGTACTATGTTTCTGGAAATTAGGCAATATGGGGACAAAGTGACAGTTGTCCCAGGATTAGCTGTAAGGTCTGGTCCTTGAGCTGCCTTATGTTTCCACTACCCAAGACACACAGTCTCTTTATAAACAGCTCAAGTTTCATCCTGCAAGGGGGTGAGCGTGGTAGCTGAGGTCCTGTGTCCTGCTCTGCTGACAGGAAGGCCATTCTGGAGCTTGGGAGGGAAATTGCACCAGGGCAAAGTGTCTGCAGGCATGTGAAAAACTAAAGGGAAGAACAGAATTAATGTCATAGATATGCAGAAACCCCAAAACTAAGCATATATTTTTGTGTAGGACTTCTTCCTTGCTCCCCATGGTTGGCCTGGGACCTTCACAGCCACTCCTATAACAAGCAGAAGGAGAATGCCAAATGTCTCGGGAGATGGGGATTTCTTCAGAAATGGATGCTTTTATCTCAAATTTGCTGCTGCTCTTCTACTGAGAGGCCTTGAGCTGAGCCTGCTTTGTCACAGCCCTTTTTAAATGAGGAGGTGGAGAGAGGCAAATGAGGGAAAGTAGAGCGGGAGGAAGGCAGGAGGAAAAGGGATAGAGAACAAGTCAGAAGAGAAGGAGCAGCTGTGTTTGAACAAGAACCATAATTGTTCAACCGTGCTCAGATCATGTCTGGGGAGTCTAGATGGTTGCTGTGGGAGGGTATGGAGAGGACTCATGTTTGGTATTATGACTTTAGTAGCTTTTTAAAGTTTTTTTTTTTTTAATAATCTATCAAATGAAGGGCAGTATCATCTAACTGGAAACCTACTATTTATTTTTAAGAATAGAAGGGGGAGAAAGGAAGAAGTGATCTTAGATACTGAGTCCAAACTAATTGACTTTAGTTCCATGAGGAACGTATAAAATCAGGACCAATTTTGAAAGTAAATCTAATTAAAGACATAGTGGGAACACAACATGAGAAAAAATAAGTTTACCAAAGATGGAATGTGCCAGAGCAAATGCTTTTTTTTCTCTCTCCTGGCAGTTTTAGACAGCGGAAGCACAGTGGAGGTAGTCTGCCGGGATTTGAAATAGTGTCAGTTGGGCCATGCTTAGACAAAACCAGAGACGTTAGTAACTGGTACGAGCAGTTGGTAAGGAATCGGGCACAGGGGCAGTATGGACATATGCAAGTGTGGCTAGATATTGCGTGTGGTATTTCCACCCCTCGTCCCCAAGGGAGATGCAGGCCAGCTCCAGCAGGGCAACAGGAGCTACCGGGGTGGGGGGGCGGGGGGCAGGAAAACCGCTTTACGAGCGAGGACTAAATGGGTTCAGCTTGCTTAGCCCCACAAAGTGAAGCTGGGTGGCCGATGACTGCTCTCTAGGAGTACA